GGTGGTGAGTCAGATTAAAAAAAGAGAGGAAATGGATGAAGTGCCTATTTCTCTCCCCATTTTCAGAAAAGAAAATTCAACACTATAGAGAAAAGTATGACAGAACAAAAAGGTATATTCTGTACTCCAATACCTGCTTTGTATCAGTTTGTTCTTTAGTATTAAGCAAGTCAACAACTATTTTACTTCTGAAAAATACTAATTCTACATTCTACCAACACAGAAAGATAGGAAAAGGAGAAAATACATAAATAGCACTAATTTATGAGTATATGCAAGTGTAATGTAATGAACAGTACTATGGCAAAACTAAAAGCATTTTATTAAAGACTCTAGATACTGCTTATAAAAAGCCCATTATTCTTCCAGCAAATTAATACTCTTACTATCAGCAAATGAACTGTTTTAGTTAAATTAATATTCATGTTAACTGCATGCAAAATCAACTAATTGACTAGTCCTAAGTTACAATATTAAAAGCATATGTAAACAGAGTCTGTGATCAATTTTAAGACTAGCCAAGTAAATCAGATGGGATTTGTTGTATGAATATGACAGGGTCTTCAAATCAACAGATTGCGTACAGTGAGAAAATAATTCCAACAAAAAAATAAGTAAAGCAGGTACATTGTTAATACAAACAAAAACAGCTCTTTAGTAGGGCTGATGAGTTTAAATTTAAAGACAAAAAAGTTTGCAATGAACAGAATCTCTTCTTCCCTTTACCTCCCCCCACTTTCAGCATAGCTTAGAATTCAGTAACCACCTTTTATAATTTTTTTTTACAAGAAATTTCCTCTCCCTCACTTAATAAATCTTCACAGAAATGTTAAGGCTGCTTTTGCCTCTTCATTTACGCAACATCATCAAACTTACATTAAAAAAAAATCCCTAATGGTGATAACAAGAAAAGCTAAAGACCATAACATAGTTTCTTTGGGCTCTGAAATAACAGTAGTATTTGTTTCTTAATAATCTCATTATTATCATTTTTTTTTCCTAAGACATTTATCATAACAGTACTGGGGCATCTTACAAAAGCTATTTTCCTGTTTCTTAAATTAAATCATATTTGGGATCTAAATTAATAATAGGTGGTTGAAACTATGCCAGGGAAAAAGGAAAGCCAGCAGCTTTTCTCTTAACAGCTCCCAGCAGAAGTGGAGGAAGAGGCAGCGCATGCAGCCTATGAGCATAATGTGGTACACACTGCTCATTCCTTATTCTGAAAACGCAAATGGAACAACAAAACTAAGAACATTGAAGTTGCAAGTCAAACACTCCAAAGGCACTGCCAGAATTCAGATTGCTTCTAGAAGCATAGCTCCATCACCCAGTGTGTATCCATCATGATCTGGGAATACAGAAGCAAAGAGAAGGCAAATACTAAGAGTGGATGCTGAGGAAGACACAGAGGTAGATTACATATAGCGAGCCTTCTCTGGAGATACTGAGCATAGCTCCACATTCTGCTTCAAGGTTTGGAGGGTGCTTGAATACACTGAGCAGACACATCCCTGCTTTCATCAGGTGTCTCACAATCATCTGACTGATCACAGTCCACCTGCCTTTATCCTGGATCTTCCTTAACCTTGTCTGCTTAACTCGTGAAAGGAGTAAAGCCTGTGACTGACATCAGCCATGCCCAGCCCAACCTCCTTTCCCAAGTCTCTCCTTCTGGACAGGTTCTAGTTCTCACTTCCCCAGTATAGCTTCCATATGTTTTCCCCTCTACTTCATGTTTAATCTTCCCTTTCAGAAGATTAAATCTACCCCCCATATTCTCACACTTACAGCTAAGATGCTTTCATTGTGGAGAGTACCAAAAGAATGGGAGCACCTGTTACTGGATTTTCCTGTTCTGCCCAATTGGGTAAATTTTAATAAGAACAGCCAAGGATGTCATCACAGCATGCACACCTTAAACCACTAAGCATCACATCTCCAACAAACAGCAGCACTAGAATTTTTTTTGAGAAAAGGCTACAAGAGTTTTATATAAGCAAAATAAAGATTTGATCTTCTTTGGGTTTGGAACTGTTTGAAACACTTCAGATCATGTTTCTTTTGAAAGAAGTTCAAACAGGCTTCAAACAGGAAGGCCCTATAAAAAGCTAAGCCAACTAAGGCTGGCTTTCATAAGCCAACCAAGCTCCATCAAAATATTTACCTCTGGCCAAATTATAAGAGAATGACAGATGTAACTGAGTCGAGGAAAAGGCCAGACAACTCCTTTAAATCCCTAATTTTCTTTAATTCTCTGATACCAAATATTGGGCAACCCTGACAACAAGCTGGCCTATTTATGATTCGCAGAGTGCTCATCAGGGTTGTCTTCCATTAACTGCACACCCTAGTAAGAACTACTCAAATGCAATGGAAAGATAGAACTGACTTTCAAGTTTGCATGAAATTTGAGTTTTTCTATATCCAGACAGCACTGATCAATCCCAAAGCAAATGAAAGCTTAGGCTGCAGACAGTTTTATCAATATTATTAAGTTATTACAGTGAGATCACCTTACCAACCCCCTTACCCCCCAATGCTTTTGTCATAGTCCATCGGCAATTAATTCAAATAGATGGGTCCACATAGCTTCTTAAAAGGAAAAAAAAAAAAAAACAAACAAAACAAAAACCACCAAACACAACAAAATGAAGGAAATCTGTCGTTAAAGCAGGGAATTCAAGTACACAAAGCGTATCTTCACTGCAAGATTCTCAATACGAAGAAAATCAAACAACAAAACTCATGTTGCTGAGGGAATAAAAACAACCCACATTCCCTGTGCTATTCAATTTAAACCTTTGCCAAGCTGAAACTACACTTCACCAGATAGCTGCTGTTATATCAGAAGCACCAATTTATTATTGTAGGATAATTTTAAACACGGGTCTAGATAAAGTAATTTTACAGAGAATAAATTAGCTTTGGGAAAGGGGCGGGGGGAGGGGAGGAAGTAAGTAAAATCGATTTTACCATTCTTGTGGCATTATATTCCTACTATCTTATTTGTAAGTGAACTCTACATTTCAGAAGAACTTTAAGAACTTCAAGTTGCTGCACTTGAAAATAACCAGAATCTGTATTCAACTTTGGCAAGTCATTTTTACCATTTCTTGTCTCTGCAACAAGCTCTAAGATAAAAAAATTAACTGATCGGAGGTCCACTGAGGATCTTGAATCATCCATGTATGATAGGCAAGTATTGCAGTAGTTAAAATTATATTGTTTAAAATTATAACCTTGTTTTATATTTCTAGGTTTGCAGTTTTATGAAGTGTAAAATTGCATGCATTAACCTTCTGCCATGTCTACGAGACTTCTGAAAAAGTACTCATGCTTATGCAATGTATTTCTAGTAAAATGGGGGAAGGGGGGGGGGAACAACAAAAAAAACAAACCATGCAAAAAAAACAAGCAAACATGCCTACTTTCCAGTAGCCAAATAAACCTCAGATGAATTACTGAAAGCTTTATGTGCATATATTAAAAAATATTAATCTGGAACATACATCCCACCCACATTCATGAGCCGACCAAATGCACAAGATATAATATACGACAAAACACTGGCTTTAGTGAAATCAATGTAAAAGAGCTGTAGCCACATTTAATGGCTCTTAAATACATCAGATTTAGTATTTTCCAGGAACTGTTCCATGGCTGGCTAAGCTTGCTGATGTGTATATTATTTAGTACAAACAGACCAAATTCTTTCTATCAATGTAAGTGCCACTGTGCTATAAGAGATCTTCTGGGTCATCAAGGGCAAGACAAAATATCCCTGAATTCCTTTCATAAGCCAACCAAGTTCCATCATAAAAGCTGTTTCTGTGTTAAGTCTTCATGTGTTGACTGTGAAATATGATTGCCCGAATTTTCAAGAACCCTCCTCTAACTTCATGGTTTGTGGACCATTTATCTCCATATATATTTCTGTTCTAAGCCAGGCCTATACCTTGAACAGACCCTGTTTGTCTCAGTGTTGTCTCTCCCCCTATTCACCTTGCCACGATCTCAACTTACTTCCGTATGGCCAGTCACTACTCATAAGCACACATACAAACACACTTAAGTGTCTTCTCATAAAACAGCTTCGCCAGGCTTTCACCATCTTATGTACCCTTCTCCACAACTGTTCTCACTAACTTCATTTTTTACTTGAACAAGGAATTACTCAGGACTGAAAATGTTATTAACACTAGGTTTCATCAATGCTTTTTAAAATGGCATTAGTATCTTCCTTACTTGAAACACAATTACTGATGAACCACATACTATTTGCAGCACTGGCTCTTCCATGTCCCACTGTAGTCAACCATTAGCCTTATGAGGAATTAAGCAAGGAAGCATCAACATCAAAGATGTAGAAGAAAAGTGAACAGGAGGATTTTCCAAAGGTCTATCACACCACACTGAGGGAAAATTGCAGTTCCTGCCACACTGACTGCATGTGATATTCCAGGATTGGGACTAAGCGTATGCAGCTTAATAAAAATGGAAGTCACAGCCTGCAAGAAACTATACTTGCCTAACTTTATATAAAAAAAAACACCAAACAAAAACTACACCAAAAAAAGTCTGAACTGGCTAAATTCCCTAGTATATGTATACAGTTTATAAGTTTTCATGTAAGTTATCTTTCTGTGGACATGGAGAACACTGGAATACCATGCAAGTTTTAGAACTCAATCACAACAACTTAACAGGATTAATTAATAAATAAATCTATAACCACATTTTAATGCACAAATTACTTATTGTCAGTTTTAGTTGAAAAATATCTATTTCATAGCAAAACAACATCACAGGAACAGCTGGATGGCAGTTTTAAGCTCAAATGAACCAGCATCACAGGCTGACAAGTCATCTCTCTGATTGCTTTTGAATGGCAGCACATGCAGATTTATTCTCTGCCGTAAATTAGAACAATTATTTCTCTGCAGTTCACTTTTTATTTCAGACAGTGAGCCCCCGCACATATTTTTAAAGGATATCTTCCCTTTCCTTGATGATAAGTTCATTCTGTTCCTCTAGCTGTCTGATCTTCTTCTCGAATGACTCCTGTTCAGCTTTCAGCCGTTCTTCTGTCACCTCCTTTTCTTCACTTACCCTGAAAAGAATATGAGAAAAATAAAATATATGCCCATAACCACAGTGCCCGAGTTACAACTCCTCTGCTTCCCAGGTAAATGGATATCACCCTCTCCACCTTTAAACAGGTGAGCTCCTCATAATGTTTATTTTATTGTATGACATTGGAAGATGCATATGACTTTATACAATACATTATTTTTCCAAAGACACTGGTCTCACTAGAGTACATGCACATTAATGGGCTGCATGGAACAGCAAAGTAAGGACCTAAACCCACAATAAGATTTGTGCAATTTGGTTCCCTGCAGCATAATGAATAAACACTGGGATCTTTGCAAGCCTAGGACACGTAGGTAGGCAAGCCAAATGGGAGAGTTCAGCTACCAAGACAGGAAGAAAACTGGAAAACTCTTCCATTTCTTAGTGCATAAACTAATTCTTTCATATTTACTGGTCAAATATAAAGTCCAGAAAAAGAATAATTATTTTTTTTAGCTTTCTACAAAAGAAAAAGTCTGTCCTCTTCTGAGAATTTTAAAATATCAGCCTGCAAGAATAAATTTTCCCTTCTCTCTGGGCCATGGCACCCTGTATCTTGCTGCTCAGTGTAAATAATTGGATCAAGATTAAAAGATGACAATGTGAGAAAGGTTTACAATGATCATTTATTCTGCACCTCAAGAGCAGGCTGCAAAAATAATTATTCTGATATCACATAGGCAGCGACCATTATGCACAAATGATCCTGTAACTATGCTAAAAAACAAGGCTTAGAAATCACGGTTCTATAAAACCTCTACAAAAACATTAAGTAATGAGCTTAGACTAATAAATATTATTGCTCTGCACTTAGCCAATTTCTGTTGCTGAAGGCTCTTAAAGTTCAGCCTCTTACGATGATGAAACAGCTGCTACAACACAGGTGACATGAGACCAAACTAGTACAACTTTTAGCAAACTTCAACTTTAACTTTGTTTAAGTGGAATAATCCTATAGGAAGAGTAAGGGAGGGGAAGTATAATACATATCTATATAATACATATATACTAAGCCTTCCACTCACTCTTTAGATTCATTAACATTCTTAACAGAGAACTTCCATTCAAAGAGTGAGCCATTCCATTTGACATCATGACATTTCCCTTAGGAGGACACAGATTTGTTTTGATAATCCAGTAGAAAAGCCATAAATACCACAATTGAGTCACCCCTCTGGGGGTGAACTACAGACAGGCAGTATTCCCCAGCTCTAAGATCAACTCACAGCCCTTCCCACAACAGTTGAAGCAGACTGCATGAAGTTGCAAATAATTAATAATGCTAAAACTCATACCTTTTCTCTACAACCCTGGAGGCAGAAAAGTAACATAGAGCATATAATCAAATTCTGTAAATTAGGGCAGTTTGAAAGTTTGGAACAAACTATTAATTGGAAAGTTTCTAAATTACATAAAAAGAGACACGGATTTAACATAAAAAACATTACACTGTTCATGTGCCCGTGGTCTCATTTACAATCCTGTCCCTGGAAGTATAAATCAACTCATTCTTAAGCCCCTTTCCCTTTACTCAAAAGTTGTCAAAAGTGATGTGGACTCACCAGAAAAACAACAAAAAGGGAACCAGATGTATTAACTCTGGATCCATCCTAACACCTATGTACTCCTTAGTTAAGCAGGCAATAAACTTCTGAAGACTATCTATTATCCATCCGTGCTCCTTGATGCATTTACAACAGTACATATGCCACATGCTGCAGGCTCAGGCTTTTGCATCTAACCACAACCAGTTTGTTTTCTCTGAATCTACAGCAATCATATAAGTGGCTATAGCATATATGACTTTCTTTCATGTAACCAGTGAAAGATGAAAGAATGTCTTCTGTTTCTTAGGGTTAAAAAAAAAAAAAAGAAAAAAGTAGAGAACAGAGAATAAACCACACCAATTGGAGAAGACAATTAAGACAGCAATGACCATGTAAGATGAGACAGGAAGGAAACAAGAACAGTGGGAAATAAAATCAGAAGGGAAAGGCAGAACAAGCACCACCTCGAGGACACTACATAAGGAAGGAAACTCGCTTCCTAACTGCTGGAGTGATGCTGCACTATAAAAAGAGACAACTGAAACACCAGGCACCAAAGAATATTAAAATCCAACAACAGTACAAGAAAATCACAGAATAGTTTGAATGTGAAGGGACCTTAAAGCTCATATAGTTCCAATACCCCTGCCATGGGCAGCGACACCTTGCACTAGACCAGTTTGCTCAAAGCCCCATCTAGCCTGGTCTAAAATAAGGTAAGAAAGAACAGAGCACTAGAGAAATTAGACTAAACCTAGCAGATTTTACCCATCTCCACATTCTCCGATGCGCCTTGTATCAGTCTGCATCACATGCACGTGCTGTGTTTGTATTTAACACAGATCACAGCAAGCTGTCATACTCCCAGACACATGAATATATTGTGCCACATATCTTATGCAGTAAATGACTGAGAACAGTAAGTGATCTTAGAAGAAATGTGGCAGTATGTGTTTATGTATCACAAAGCAGGAGACAGCCCATAAAGGGCAGGCAAGATACAGAAGACAGTTACTCACAGGAGGTGGCAAAAGGAAGTTAGAGAAAAGGAATACAAGAATGTCATCAGATTATGTTGGATTTATGACACATCCTATACATAGCTCAGTGAGATTTTTTTATATACTTATTTCTTTGCCTTCTGGCAGAAAAAAAAAAAAAAACAAAAGATTTTTAGCAGAATTAGGAAAAACTTCACTGATGCCAAACAGAAATATTACAAGGCTCCTTAAAAGGATTTTTACTTGCTTTTCATCTGCCCGTGGTCAGAAAAGAGCAGTGAAAGAATAAAGACATTACAATTACAAAGGGCACAACTGCTCCCCTGGGCAACACACTGGTGTCTAGCTCCATTACCGTTGTTTGCAGGAACAAATAGAGGACCAATAGCAGAAGCAAAGATGACAAATCAGTAGAATTATTCCAGCTGTTCAGAATTATTCTAGCACCATTTTCTTACTTGCAATTTACATGCACCTATCTTATGTCATAGGATACACACCAAATTTGTTTGAGATTTGTTCTAAACTCAACACTTCAAAGCTTACATAATTCTAGACATCAAAATAAAGATATTATTTTTATTTTACAGAAAAAAACTCCTCTGTAGGAAATAAAAAATCATAATGCAGAGATTTTGACAAAAAAAAATCCTGCTAGGGCATCAGCTTTAGGTTTCAAATTAATTCCTAATTCACCAGTTCCAACTATTACGGTGTGCTCCCAAGTCCACTCCTGATACTAGTAGTTCTGTGTTATCTGAAGAAGGAATTGATCAACAACCTTGCTGATGACACTGATTCATTCCACTGAGTAACGCAGGATTGATGCTATCAAGGTGGAATTTTTAAGTACTGCACAGGTCAACAACGATTAAAGTTTCACTTGTCTATTGAATAACTGGCATGCACAAGAAAAAGCCATAACACATCAACACTATGCTAGGGACAAAACTCAAGAGAACTCTTCCTGACTGAAGGCTCTTACAATCTTTACAAAGGAAAAGAGCTGAAAAGACAAATCAAAAATAGTGTTTCCTATTTTTTAAAAGTGTTAGAAAAAATTGAGCTTCTACAAAAAGAAGTCTAAATGCATTAAGAGCTGCAACCGAGCAAATCAAGAGAGAAGACAGCATAAATAAAAAGCAGACACACTACACTGGGAAGTTCACTATCAGTCCTAGAGTTGTTGGGAACATTTACTTTTTAGGCAATATTCACCTGGTATTAGTCTGCCAACTAGCTAGCAAAGATGGAAAACTTTTGGTGACCATTCTCAAAAACCAGAAATTTTAAATTCCAAGCAAAGAATGGCAACTGGAACAGGCAAGGCCACGGGGGAAGGAAAAATGGAGCAAGGACTAAGATAAGAGCATGATCCAAAGCCCAGCACACACAGAAATCATGGAATGAAATCAGGTATTCCAAGGGAAAGATGCACTCCAGAAAGATGAAACAAGAAGTCTCATGCCAGAGTTGATCACAACATGCCTCTGGGAAAAGTGAGCACCAAGTGACTTTTAATACAAGCACTGCAGGAAGAAATAATGGCAGAACTTTTCTCTAAGGACACTTCACAAATCTGATATATTTCACCCAAGTATCATGGGCACTTTGTATAAATTAAAAAAATAAAATAACAAAACCCCTAACGATTCAAAGACATAATTAAAATCACTACAGAATGGATAAATCTTAGGATATGCAACTTGCAAAATACAAAACTAGATCTCACAGCATGAATTTATAGCCACAAATGACTTTTTAAGCAAAAAAGGTAAGTGTGATTGGTGATACAATAATCCAAGGCATGCTTTCCCTACCAACAAGAAGCAATTTCCAGACAAGCTTAGGGATATCTCATTTGCAGTCTCACTGCCTGACCAATTATTGCACAATATTGCTCCTAAAGTAGCACAGACAAAGCAAAAAAGAATAAAAGATCTTGACATTGAAGTTAAAGCCAGGTTAAATACAAGGTAGTGTAACCCAGGAGAGAAGGTAACTCAAGAGGCTACACACTGCAGATCTGTAATACGGGCTTCCAGAGGCAAGCTGTCCTTCAAAGATCCTAACTGCCGAAAGAAAAACACTTAAACAGCAGATATACGCTACAGTAGTTTTACTGTCCTCCTTTGTAATGCTTTGCAGTTCTGTAACCAAATTAACCTTCTGTTTTGATTCCTATTTTCACCTTTTGCTGAAAAATTTCAATTGCAGTTGGTCAATTTCATCTTCGTATCAGGAAGAAAAGCAATGCTGGTAAAAAAAGGCTAGCATCCCAGACTGCCAGCACCCTACAAAGGGTTTAGGAATCCAAGGACTTGGGAAGGAGGAAGCATTTTCTCTGCAAGGGACACAGGGCTATCTGAAGGCTGTTTAACAACTGCTGGGGGTGCAAGTCATTCTGGGCATGCCAGTGGTCTTTGCCAGAAAGACACTAATCTGACAGCAAAAACCACCTTGTATCTCATTTGAAAAGGGCAATCACTCCTTCCCTTGGGTGGATAAGGGCATTATGATACCTTTCTACCTAAACTGCTTTCAAAGATTTGTTTGCAAAGACAACAGGGAGCCAGCTTTCTCTGTGTTTATCTTATCTGAAGAAAGAAAGAATACAAAGTAGATAGATACCAATCCTCACCACTAAAAACAAAAATTAAAATTTCATGAACCATTCTACCTCACCTAGTCAATGCCTCTGTTCATTCAAAAGCAAACTGAAGATGTGAGCAGTACAGGCACATGTGCAGCAGGGAAGAAGTATTTATGATGTACATGTCATAGTGGGAGCTAGAAAATCAGAGTACTATGGCTGTATATCAGTCAGGAGTGAAGTGAATGCTTGCAAGCACGCACACATTCACTCTCTCTGCAAAGGAAGTTATGACCCTCTCCATTCAGCCAAATGCTATGACAGAGAGCGCTCTCAACATCTGCATATCACTTCAAATATTTCATTCCACAATACTTCGTACCCATTCCTGGTATGGTGTCTAGCAAGTCCTTAATGCTTAAGAGCCAAATGGCTGGGTCTCAGAGGACCTTGTGCCGCTCCCTCTTGGAAGAGGCTAATGTGTGCTGACACTGGTGCAGACTACAAGGGCAGAATTCCTTCAGCGTCTTCACCATGTCACTGCTCATTTCATTAAATAAGCTAATGACTGCTTCAGGAGTAGCCTGCAGTAATAAAAGCTCAGAGAAAGTATTTTTTTGCCTCTTAAAAGGACTCTGCTTGTAGGAAGAGCTAAAATTTGGCCTTACCATGCCTGCCACTTTCACCACCATGCCAGCAGCACCTTGCTGAAAACACAAAGGTGCCATGCCAGTTGTTTTTGACAGTAACAGCTTATCACACTAGAGAATTTCCCATTTACCACAAAGCACTTTGGCACTCATAGGCCTGGCTCGTTCTACTCAGAAATTCATCTACAAAAACAATTCAGAAGGAATCTGCTAACACAAAGTTCAAATTAACAACATTCTTTTACAGTTCGGACCCAGTCTGTCCCTCTTTTCACATACAGGAAGATAAACTGGATATAGAATCATAGAATACTTTGGGTTGGAAGGGACCACCACAGGTCATCTAGTCCAACCCCCCTGCAATCAGCAGTGACACCTTCAATTAGATCAGGTTACCCAGAACCACATCCAGCTTGGCTTGAATGTCTTCAGGGATGGAGCATCCACTACCTCTCTGGGCAGCCTGTGCCAGGATTTTACCACCCTCATTGCAAAAAATCTCTTCCACACATGCAGCCTGAATCTCCCCTCTTCTAGTGTAAAACCACCACCCCTCCTCCTGTTCAAAGAAAGGCAAAATAATGGTTACATTTACAGGTGGCAGCATAGAGCAAAAACTAAGATTATTTAGCCTAGACAGGAGGATTAGAAAGGATCAGTTGAGTTCATTCTTTCAACCCTGTCTCAAAACTGAATTTCATGAAGTCCCTAACGGCTAACATTGATGTCAGCTACCAGAAGCCACACCAGAGCATTACGGAGCATTAACTGATTTTTTTTTTTCCCAAGGAAAGGTTAATAATATAGCTAGTATTGTAATTCACTCACATCAAGACAAAATCTAACACAGCAGCATATTAGCTAATGCACAGGCACACACCTTCCCAATGTTCAAAAGTATAACAGGAATGAGAGTTGGAAGAAGAGAAGAAGAAAAAGGGAGAGAAATTACATTAGGTCTCCTTCAGCAGTCACAGAAGGCAGAAGAAAGACCAATATCCTGAGCTGCTCAAGCAAGGGGTTAATCGTATTTTGCTACTGGTTTCCACCGAATTTTACAAGTGTCTTCAAGCAGGCAGTCACTGACCAATCTATTTCTGTCCAGCATCCCACAACAAACATGCCGGAACTAGTCAGAACTACCCTCATTTTCATCATAAAAGTTAACAACTTCAGGAAGAGTGAAGTATAGCTCTGGTCAAGAGAGGTCTTTATTATTCCAAGTATTTACTGCAGGACAGTCTTCCTGGAAAACTTTCAGCAGCCTGCTGGTTCCTTTTCTTCTCCAAAACAGCAAAGAATGTTTTACTGCATGTAAAAACCCTCCATCATTGCACAACTAGGGATGAAAATTATGGAGAGTTTTAAAAAAGTGACGAGGTGAGCGGAATTAAAGTTCAACTTCCCTATTACTCTGCAAAGGACTTTTAATAACATCCAATAAAAATAAGATTAAGTTTAAAAATAAAAGAGAACTAAGTATAAAATAATAGTGTTCCACTAATTTTACTTTTCAAAATTAATGTTGCTGCACTTTCTATTTTTCTTCGAAGAAATGTCAGGCAGAAATATCAAACTGTCCTCAGGGAAAAATCACAGCATCTGAGATTTAAGAAGAATCCCATGCTCAAATGAGTTAGTGTACTACTATTCACCAGGGAGCAGTGTATTATGAGGAACAATGTAATAAAAGGCTTTTTTTAATATTAGAATATACCTCTATATATCAACAGTGGCAACAGTGTCCGAATAGCTCCAACATCTGACAATTTGTAACCAGCCTTCCCAGCAATCTACTCTTTATGACAGCCTTAACTAGACATTTTCTAACACATAAGGTAGGATAAAATAGCGTTGCAAGCATGAAGAACTTCAGAAATTACTAAAATACTGTATAGCGAGAAATCCTATATTGGTAAAAATTATTAGCAGGCAAAATGGTCCACTGGATGAGGATAATCAGAGAGAAAATATTCCTAGCTGCACCCAAGACTTATTGCATGACCTTGAGCAAGTAACTTAATTTCACTGCCCAAATTTTCCAATATAAAAAGGACAGTAATGCTTGCCAATTATTGCAGACATGAAATCTATGGCAAAATGCATTTCATTAATATCTGAGAACCTACATTTTGTTCTAGAAAAATTGTGCCTTTATAAGTTTGCAGAATTCTTTATAAATTCTTAGTATGGACACTAACTTTAAGACCAAAGGACCCAAGATCATCTCACAAGACACTGCCCCCTAATGTGTGAGGGCCTGCTAAAGTCCCTGCTAAAAACTGAGACGCGCTCCCTACAGCCCCTACGTAAAAAGCAGATTTCCACAAATTCTTAAGTGATAGGGGCACAGAGGGAGAGGCAAAAATCTCCTCTCTCAAATTCAACCTGTCTTTCACATCATTTATCTTCATGAATGCAACTAGCACTGGAATAAAACGTCAAAAAAATGTTTGCTGAAGCCGTGAAATTTGCACTGTTTCAGCCTCTCCTTTCACGTTATACAGAGAACTTTAATGAATTAATCAAAGCAAAAGAAAATTTGGCTAGATGAATTAAAATTATACTTCACTCTTTATTGCTCTACACGTGCAAGCATTTCAAATACTGATCAACTTGTCTCACCCACAAGATCACCAATCCACCTTTAACATGGCATGCCATGTAAGTGGTTACCCTGACAAATAAGCACTACAAATTTTCATATCAACAAAGCCTGCCATTTCCAAAAGACAATATGTGTTTATTTAAAGCACATGATACAGCAGCAAAACAAAACCCTAGCCCTGTGACATGTTTTTTATGGATGAACTACTGCAGGTCATAAAACTTTGGCTTTTGTACTCCATGCATTTAGAGGGGGGCTGAGTCAAGAAGCAAAGAAAAACAGATCAGGCTGCTTCATTACTCATATCTCTTCCAGCGAGAAAAATTACCTTATGCAAATATTCAGTTCCATAAAGCAGTTCTACATTGCTTGATGTTAATTAGAGGAATGACTCTCCTTAAACATAATGCATTTTCAGGTGATGCTTATTCCTACCTGGCAAGTTCTCTAATTAAGTTTGCAATGCGCCTCTTGTCCTCAGGACACAAATCCTTTAAAGAAGCACTCTTCATTCCTCCTTCATTAGTGACCTGAAAATTTAAAATGACATTTTAGAAAGTATTCTTTAAAGGAGAACAAATATTTCATAAGATATTAAAGCATTTCAAAACCTAGTAACTAGAAGCAGACAAATTCCAACTGGAAATAAACCATGATTTTTTTTAAATGTAAGTACAGTTCAGTGAAACAAATAACCAAATTGTGAAGACTTCTTTTAATAAACTTGTAATTCAAATGCAAGCTGCTAACTTTACTATTAAACATTTGGGTAAAGTTTTAAGACATACACTACCCACTGGTTCATACTAGAAAAAGGGCAGTAAGTTCTCATGACTTGGAAATCTAGTGCAGCGATATCCAGATCTGAGTTCACACTTTATTAGGAGCCTAAAAAAATTTTAAAAGATTTTTTTTTATTAAAAAAAAAAAAAATCTGCCTTAGCATTTACAACCAAAACATTAAAAACAGCAAAAAAAGATATACAATGTATCATTAGTAGATTGTATAAGTCCTTATTTGGAAAGATTTTTTAATACATGCTTTTTTACACCCCTTTTATTTTTTATCACTTATTTGCTACCTTCGTACCCACTACTTCTCAAACAGAACCTTTAACAGATTCCAGTACTTCAGCTCTTTTTAATACATTCCTTTATCACACTGGTATTTGCTATCAATGTCCACCAGAGGGCAAACTACTGTTCGTGTTTGCAGCAGCTCCTCGGATTACCGAGGTTACTGACGTTATCGACTTTGCGTTTCCAAACAGAAACAGTTCTAAACTCGAAACTGTTTTTCTTTATCAAACACTTTAGACATCAGTGACACGGTTCTCCAGCGCTAGTGCTAACAAAAATCCCAACGTGAAAGCTGCAGTAAAAACTGCTATTCTGTCCAAAAGTATTTCCACTTAATCTGATTTACTTATTCTCAGTTTAGATTTTTACAAATCTTCAAATAGTACAAACCTTCCTGAAGGCATACTGCGCTTAACATGAGATCCAAGAATGCTACCAAATGCCTTGTAGGTTATTGCCCAGGTTATTCACGACTGTGAAACATACTGCAATTAGGGAAGCATGCTGCTCTGGCTGGTATTGTTCGGTGTCTACTCAGTCATCTGGCCCACGATTTCTTTAATAGTCAGTCATCAAAATGCTGATTTATTGGCTCTCAAAGTTGTTGCTCTTGATCTCACAGTTTCAGCATGTCCTACCTTACTTACAGCCAGTATTTGCTGGTTTAGTGTTTATCGGCTGGGGGTCGGATCTGGGCTAAGGATCTTGTTTCACTGTACTTCATAGCAACGACTTGTAATACAATAGACTCATTGATCATGAATCTGGGCTGGTATTTGTTCCCAGTGTGGTCATCACCTCTATACTTTGGGAGGTATATAATGGAAGTGTTTAGCAATTACACATCTTTTCTTCCCTCCTCGAGTGGTCAGCCTATGAAGAAGACATTCCTTCACACCCTCCTCGCGGTGGGGCTGCCAGCATAGCGCTCTGCCTCTGCAGGCATGGACGGGATTCAAACCCGTGATCTTTGGTTTACGAGACAGATGCTTTACCACTTGGCCACCGCGCCTGACCCTGCTCAGCTTCCGAGATCAGACGAGATGGGGCGTTTTCAGGGTGGTGTGGCCATACGTGCGCAACTAAGCAAAGCAAAACAAAGCAGAGATGTCCAGGCTCCAAAAACAAGATCTCACCAATGTGCTGGCCACACGCACTGGGAGTCTTGGGAACCTGGAGATAGGTGCTGCAAAGGTCCATGTGGATTCAGCTCCTTTAAATCCAAGGTGACTACATTCTGCTCATCTTTTATCATCTTTGCAAGTTTTTGAGGCTGGTAACACCCTGCCATCTTCAGTGAGTGGTTTTCAAGCTCTGGCATGATGTTCCCTTCTCTTTACTTCCAAAGACACAGTCCAGTAACTAAGGTATAACACAAACCCACCACTGCTACCACCAATAATAATAACAATATGGGAAATAACAAGAGAAGGGAATAGCTAACACAAGTTAACACAATATACCACTGAACCACCTCTGAGCATACAAAGCAAACACTGGGTTGCTCTCCCCTCATTAGCAGTAATGGCAGCTGATCTACACACATCAGGAAGGAAATAACCCCTTCCATTCTTTGCTAATTGCTTCTTGAACAATAGTTTGAAATAATGGAAGAACTACATCACTTCTGAAAGAGATTTTGATTTTATACAGATTCATGTTACACCCACCTGACTCTTCAGTACACTCTTATTTTAACTTAAGTGGATTTCCCAAAGGGATGGGGAGTGGCAAAGTAAAAGACTGGATTTTATTAAGTCAAATTATATTTCAGGGCTTTTCTTGAGGACATTTGATTTCACAGTTTCCTTCCAAAAGACATGCTATTTACAGTCATACAAATGAAGAGATAATATTTTAAAGTTAACTGAATTCAACTAAACATAAGGTTGAAGGATCTGCATTTCCCATGCTAAAAATATCTGATTTATTTTTATTTTTAGCAGCCTGATAATGGAACTTCTTTAAGAAAAATCAGAAGTAACAGGACATTTTTCACTCACAAAATAGGCACAAGCTTGATCACATTAGTGAAGGAGTTTTAAACAGAAGGTACTCAAAGCTATTACTCAAACCTATGTACGTGCTGTCAGACAAACATCAGTGGTATGAAAATTAAAATCTAAAAAGGCAGGCTTGTACCATAACACATGTCAAAATGAAGCTGTGGAATTACACACAGCAACAGCTCCACCATCAAAATAAGCTGAAAAATGATACAGAGACCAAGACTATTGTCTCCTTCCGGATTTCTGTCCTTTCTACACAGCTCAGGGTAGAACTCAGTTTCATAAATGGGAGATTCTCTCACTTTATAAACTATGCCTTGGAAGATCACAATTTGCATGAAAGAAGCAGACAACTTCTGTCAAAAGGAAGTAGAAAGATGGGAAATTTTGGTCAAGACCAGTACAGCAAGCCACTAATTCATTAAAATCACCAGAGAAGCTCCATAGCTAACAAGACTTTTTTGAAATCTTCTCCAAAATTCTAATTCACCTTTCTGGTACTCAAGTCCACCTGAATGAAGAAAAGGTAAATCAGTTCTGCCAAGATTCATACTAAAGTAAAACTCAATCCATTCTCTTCAAAAGAGGATTCTGGTAAACCGTTAACACTGAGCTACCTACCAGTACAACAGTGTAAAGTGTGTTAAAAGTAAAGCAATCAGCTCTCCCTAGACACAAACACACAACACCTTTAAGAGAATTAGTTCTGTGCTTATGAGAACTCCTTGCAAAAAGAATTTTGTGAAACATTCTTCTTCCACAATAGGTAAAATGTACTTGCTTTGTTTGTTTCAAGTAATTCAGAGCTTATCTTCAAAGTCAGAACACAAAGGTTCCTGGAGGATTTGGCAAGATAAAAAAAAAAACAACAGAAGGTTAAAAGAAATGGAAAAGAGAAAGCTTCAAACACATTTTATTATCAAAAATATAAAAACATGTTTGAATCTCCAATCAAGATTTCACATATGAGGCATTCTATTAAAAAAAAATTTAATAAAAAAAAAGAAAACACAAAGACCATTTCTGTCCTAACAGCTCTCAGAGAAAGGGGAGTAAAATTCTCTAAACAATGCAATCAACACACCATACAACAAAACAGATTTTAACGTGACATATGAAGGCATCTGACTTGTAGATACCTAGTAGGAAGAGATACTTCTACAGAAAGATACTGCATAATGGGGGCTATTTGTGAAATTCCCCTGCATGTTACTTAACAGCCTAATTTGCAAAGTGGGTCTATATACCAGTCTACTAAAAGCAAGTACTGATAAACACAGAAATGGAAACAGGTAAGTCCAAGAATGACCCTAAAAATGAGTAATAGTTATAAGGATGTCATGCTAAAGGATGCGAAGGGCAGTGACACTGTCAAAGCAATGACAGCTGAATGATGTCTTCACATCAGAGTTTTGAACGCACATGTAAGGCACATAGCATTTACTAAGCACACATAAGACACAAACAAGGACATCTTAGCCCAAAAATCAAGATTTAACTGCATGATAATACAACAGTGATTCAGAAGCAGTCAGAAGTTTTACATCCAGCCTGTTAAGTGAAAGCATACCAAACCCTAGTGAGTAACAGACTTGCCCAAGATGACTACAATGCAAGGGAATTAACAGTACTCAAATGACTTACACAGGCCCTGTACTATACAAATCAGGTTAGAAAAATGGCACCTCTCCACAGATTTATGAGTATCACAATACAGAACAGCCTTCCAAAGGAAGCCCACTGCTCTGAAACTTCTAATGCAATAAACAGTAGAAAAACCATCACCTACTGCAGGAGTATACCAGAAAATTCAAAGGTATTTCTACTACTCAGAGTTATTTTTAAATTTTACTATCAAAAACAGAAAGTGATTTTATACGCCTAACATGAGCAGACACACCAAAATGGTCTCTAAAAGGAATCTTGCAAGTCTTGTTTCTAAGCAATATGATTAGTGCAATGAAACTGAATAGACTGAAACAACCTCGTTTGTTTGGACAGTAACATATAGATAGATATGGGGCTACTCAAAGCTACACTCTCTGTACATATGCACACATAGAGAGATTTATATTATCTGCCTTACATAGCCCCAGTTATGTACCACTTACATAAATTTGCGCATTCAGCTTTTGTTCTCTTTAGGTGGGCAAGCGATTTCAGTGGAAAAGTAATTTTTGCCAGCAAGCCACCATGTAGGTAGGCGAAAAGTGTGAGAGATTCTAAAAATAATAGCACATGAAAACTGGTTTTCAATCTAAAGATTTTCTGCCATTTTTCTACTATGCACGCTCTTAAGAGCCAGAAAAATTTGCCTTTACTGACCTGCTGCCCTGTCAGATCTCCTGTGCTTCTAACAGGATCCATGGGAATGGAAGCAGGAGCTGCAGGCACCTTTAGTTCAGTTTCACTTTTCTGATTTTTTGGCAAACGCCTTGTTCTTAAATTTCCTTCTGTAGCCACTCCTGAAGATGAAAGACAAGCAGAACACAGAAATTAGAAAGTCAAAAGGGTCTTGCCTCTAACAACAGGACTTCCACAAAGGCATCTGTGCTTTTAGCAGCATTTTTTCAAAAGAATAAGCATTTCAGGTGTATGTTTGCAATACTCCCCAGCCCTTCATTCCACACAAAATTTCATTAAGATGAATATATGAGCACAGCACTGAAGTGCACTCAGCCGCATGAACAGCAAAGTAAATTCTGAAACACACATGTTGTCTCTGACTGACCTTCAGTGCTAAAACCTGTGTTTAAGATGCAAAAGCATAAATTTGAGCTTCTGCTTATAGGCTTTAACATCCCCATGTTCATACACAAGGGAGAATAACATTTCTGAAAGCCTCTTCCATGAAAGTGGAAGAATATCTCCCAGAATGAATTTTCATTTCCATCATTTAGTATCACTGCTTTCTTTCCAGGACAGAGCATAACGATCTGACATTGCCTGGCTTGAACTATGCTACCTACAAAACACAGGCAGAGATTTTTTTAATAGAACTGTTTGGCCAGTAATTTTGAAGAGTAAACATGCTACTGCAAACCTAGAGCGCTGAATTCCTTAAAATTATAATTGCTAGACATAGTGAGGACACATACACCATTTTACTAATCATCCCACATTATGTTTCAGGACCTGGTATCACTGCAAAAGCTGTGTTTGAAAACAATTAGGAAATTCTTAAAGGGGACTAGTAACACCCATCCTTTCCCCAGAGATGTGCATAAGCATGCACTCAGTAAATCAAGGTCAAGAGAACGAATTAAAAAAATAAAATAAAATTCTTTCTTTATACAATAAATCTTCATTTTAATTGACCTCTTCAAAAATCTCCAAAAGACCTGAACATCTACAATGCTTCAACATTCTTTAGAGACCACATTAAAAATTCAGCTTACCTTGTAGACTGGATAAAACTATGCTGTACCTGCAATAGAAACAACTCCCCTGAAACTGTTCATCTTATACTGTATGCTTATCTAAGCAGCAGAGTATAAATCTTCTACTGTAGTCCTGTATGTCCCGTTACAAGTTGTGATGACTCTAAGGTACTCTCTGTACTTTAAATACTTAGGTACACAAACCAGGTACCTGAAAAGACTTTGCAAAGTTTAGCATTCACAGGAAAAACCTTTTGTTTATGATTAGCAGGTCATACCTGAAACAGACACCATTGGCTGTTTTCCATCAGAAACTGCATGTGGCTTTGTTAAAGGTAATAAACAAAGACAGCAAGCTTGGCCCATAAAAGGGAACTACAAAAGTATTTTGTCTTAATTTTAAAAGGCTGTTGATAAGAAAACAAACTGGCAACACACTGGGAGCACCAAAAGCAAACAAAACTTGACAGGAGAAAACAACAGAGATGGCTGAAACAAAAAGCATTATTCTTTCTTCACTGTGCATTAACTTTCAGTCTGTAATCTTAGAGGTCACCTTCACAAAAGATCCCAGGGACCAGGCCCAGTTACAAGTGCAACTAATAAGATAATGAAGTAATACTATTTATTTAAATTAAGCAGGAACCTCTTCATATGTAGGGAAGACAAATTCTGAAATAGTGTATATTCATACTGCAATGAAATACATTTTGTACTATATATACTAAGAAACATAAACAAGGAAAAATACAAAAGGTTTCAAAGGAAGTTGGTCATTCTCATCTGACCATCACATGGTGAGTAACAGATGAAAGCCTTAGGACTGTTTGTCTTTATGAAGTTTCAGGAACTTTCAAATAACCCAGAGCTTTAACTGTTACATTACTTGACTGCAGAAAGCACTAAAAAAAAAAAAATAATAAATAAATCACAAAGGACTGGGCACCATATTATTTGTGCTGTTAACAGTTACTGAACTTGAATCCTCGCCTCCTAGAAGTCACTAAAAGTAGGACTTGACACAATTCAGGGAAGAGTGTAAACTACAGCATTTTCCTTCAAGCAACAGTTTCATTTAGCTGAACATAAAGATTTTTATTCCCACATAAGTAATTAACATTATACTAAAGTGGAAAACAAAAAGACAGGGCACAAAATATCTTTAAACCCCTTCACTTTCCTCAACCTGCTAAGGTTGGCAAGTTAACTCAGTTACCTGATTCCAGTACATTTACCCTTAAATGTATTTAAGTTGCAGCTGTCTTCATGCAAGAAAGTCAAATTGTGGAAATATTTTAATTAACCTAAACAAATTATAACCATAACTAAAATTTGATTTTGATAGTACAATTTCAAAAACGTGATTTAATAAATTACCGCATGGTGCAGAAAATTAGCAACAGCCTAGATTATTTCCTTCTGTGGACAGCAACTTCAAAATCAATAGCCACTGTCTTGGCACTGATCACAGGCTCCCTTGTGATCTTGTTGATCCACTTTATCACTTGTAAACAATTATCACTCATCAGACTCACACCAGTTTGAGAATATGTTCACTTAGTACCACTGGCAGTCATCTCTCTCTCTCTACAAATGCTGAAAGCACTTTTGTTTTTATCATGCGATGAACCAGGTGAAGAGCTAAATAACTTTTGAAAGTAAAGCACTACTTTCCCTCTTTCCAAAAATACCAAGGTAAATCAAAAGTCCAAGTCTGGATCACAGCCCAGTCCAAACAGCTGTAAGAGCACAACTGCAACAGCAATCTCCAGGACACTGAGGAGACTATCTTCAACTCATCCTACAAATAACAAACTTCAGCACACGCGATTGCATTGTCAACTGACATACGGTTAACCTGTGTGCCAACACAATGTTAGGTAGGAAATAAAACAGATTTGCCTAAACAACTGTACTGAGTTTGCATGCCAATGTTTTGATAGCAGGGGAGCCATAGGGGTGGTTTCTGTGAGAAGCTGCTAGAAGCTTCCCTTTTGTCCAGTGGAACCAAGGTCAGCCAGCTCCAAGACAGACACAATACTGGCTAAAGCCAAGCCTATCAGCAACGGTGGTGGCACCTCTGGATAACATGGTCTAAGCTAAAAAGTTGCTGTGCAACAGCAACTGCAGCTGAACGGAGTGAGAATATGTGAGAGCAACATCCCTTCATACACCAAGATCAGTGATGAAGGAACAGAAGAGAGGCTCCAGGCACTGGAGCAGAGATTCCTCTGCAGCCTGTGATGCAGACCAGGATGAGGCAGGCTGTGCCTCTGCAGCCCATGGAGGTCCATGGTAGAGCAGATATCTACCTGCAGCCCATGGAGGAGCCTACACTGGAGCAGGGGGATGCCTGAAGGAGGCTGTGACCCCATGGGAAGCCCACACTTCCCCCAGGAACAGGCTCCTGGCAGGATCTGTGGCCCATGGAGAGAGGAGCCCATACTGGAGCGGGTTTGCTGAAGGAGCTGTGACCCCATGGAAGGGACCCACACTGGAGCAGTCTGTTCCTGAAGGATGCACCCCATGGAAGCCACCCAAGCTGGAGCAGTCTGTTCCTGAAGGACTGCACCCATGGAAGGGAGCAGTTCATGAAAAACTGCAATCTGTGAGAAGAACTCACACTGGAGAAGTTCATGGAGGACTGTCTCCCATGGGAGTGACCCCACACTGAAGCAGGGGAAGTGTTAGGAGTTCTCTCCTGAGAAGGAAGGAGCAGCAGAAACATGTGATGAACTGAGCGGGACACACATTCCTCATCCCCCTGTGCCACACTGGTGGAGGAGGTAGAGAAATCTGGAGTAAAGTTAAGCCTGGGAAGAAGGGGTGGGTGAGGGGAAGTTTTTTTTAAGGTTTGAGTTTACTTGTCATTTTCCTATTCTGACTCAATTGGTAATAAATTAAACTGATTTCCCCGAGTTGAATCTGTTTTGCCTGTGATGGTAACTGGTGAGTGATCTCTCCCTGTCCTTATATTGATTTATAAGCCTGCCAGTTCCACCCATTAGACTCCTCTAGACTGGAAAAGACCTTTAAGATCATCAAGTCCAACCATTAGCCTGGCCAATGGCTGGACTACCACCCTAATGTCTTCAAGTAGCTGAGCCTCTCTCAGCCACATGATCCTAAACATCAATGCCAACTCCTCCTGATTCTCTGAACAATGCAAACACATCTCTATAGCAAGGCTTTTACAGGCTGAATCCCCACCACCACCAAACCACCACCTACTCAATTTACGTGTCCAGCCCCACATCGTGTCTCACAACTGGAGCTTGCACATCTGCAGACAAAGCCACCGCAACTTCTCACTTGTCCCTCACAGACAGAATCACAGATTCATAAAATAGTTTGGGTTAGAAGGGAGCTTCACAGGGCACCTAGCCCAGCCACGCTGTAATGAGGGACATCTTCAACTAGATGAGACAGAACTCCCCAGCCTTCATGCCCCCCCCAGAGTCACCCTAAATCATAGAATCACAGAATAGTTAGGGTTGGAAAGGACCTTAAGATCATCCAGTTCCAACCCCCCTGCCATGGACATGGACACCTACCACTAAACCATGTAACCCAAGGCTCTGTCCAACCTGGTCTTGAACACTGCCAGGATGGAGCGTTCGTGACTTCCTTGGGTAACCCATTCCACTGCCTCACCACCCTCACAGTAAAGAACTTCTTCCTTATACCCAATGTCATGCTTTCAGTCAACTTTTGACACCCGTCACAAAAGATAGATTTTTTCCTTGCTGCCTGTTCAGTCTCCAGCCTCAGTTTCTCTCAACTCCCTCGCAAGTTTCCATAAGCTGAACCCAGTTTCCTCATTTCCTACGTATGTACCTCCCCCAGGACCTTACAGCTAGGCCACAGAGGCAGTGGACACGCAATCTTCCCTCCTCTTGGAGGCCACCTTTGCTTTCAAATCCTACGTAACCCTCCCTTCACACAGGTTCACACCCAGCCCCTCTCCACGGGCCGACCTCCCCACGCTCACAGGCGGGTCCCCCAGACGCCCTGTACCACAGCCACCATACCCTAGCCGCCCCACAGTCACAGCCCTTCCCACACCAAAGCCCCAACGCAGACACCCCCATCGCCTGCCCCACACAGCTTACAGGGCTCCCCATAACCACAGTCCTTCCCGCTCCCCTCCACGCCGCCCCCGCCCCCCAGCCAGCCTCCCAGCACGTCACAGCCCCGTCGCGCCCTCCCCGGCCCGCAGAAGGATACTGCCCTGACTCCAGTAAACAGCACCGCCGACCCCACCGCCCGCCTCCGCCATCTTGAAACAACCGCCACTCCCAGAGTGCCCCCCGTCACCCCCCCATTGGCTGCCCGTGCCGGTGTAGCGGAGCATGCCGGGAGTTGTAGTCCTAGTGGCAGGTTTAGTCCGCCATTAGGGCGGGCGAGCTTCAGCTGACAGGACTACAGCTTCCGGTGCACCGCGCAGCGCCGCCGTGGCTAAGGGGTGCGAGGAAGGACAAAAAGGTTCCTGGTCGCACACGCCCCCATCGGTGTCCGCTGTGTGCCGGGCTGCTGGCGGTGAAGGCAGCCGGGTCCATCCGGGAGGATGGAGGAGAAGCCGTCCGCCAGCGTTAAGCCCTACCTGGACAAGCTCACCCTGGGGGTCACACGGATACTAGGTGAGTGGCGGCGGGCGGGAGCGGCCTGAGGTAGGCCAGGGGCGGGCGGGGCGGGGTGTGGTGTGGTGGTCACTTGGTTGTCACAGAAACCGCCCGCGGGCGGGAAGGGCGCCTCCCTCAGCGCCGCCCCGCCATGGCCCCGCGGTCCACGCCCGTCCCGGCCCGTGTGTGCCCGAGCCCCGAGAACCGCGGGGTGTGAGCGCTGGGCGGCTGCTGGTGGGACCCCGGGCACAGGGATGGCTGGGGCCCTCCTCTGGGACCACATGCACACACATCCTCCCTGTTTCTATTATTTGAATCAGCAGCAGAAGTCCTGGTACTTAAAGAGAGCCCCGCAGTGTCAGAGAAAGCACAGAAAGTGGTGTTTTGTTCAAAATCATGCATAATTCTTAGTTTCTGTTGCAGTGTGTGGTGAGCAGGTAGCGCCCCGAATGGAAGGGAGTTCAGCCTAGTGCACAGCTCTGGTAGGTTAATCTGTGGATCTGCTCAGGACCAACTCCCCATAAATAGTCACTCTGTAGCTATTCCCGTACCATGGCACTTTCTCCACAGCATGCCCTGCTTGCTGTCTCCGGGTTTTGCTCAGATCTCGAGGCTTCTTGCATCCCTGCGGTTCGCTTTGAAGTTCAGCTGGACTGCAAAGCGTTCAACACCTAACGGAAAGCTGCTCAGGCAAAACTTCGCTCGTGGCAGTAGAATCACAAGAGCTGGTGAAAGGATTTGCATGTGTAAAGGGTTTTAGCATCAGACCTTTCATCTATCAGCAGCTCGAGGCACAGAGCTGCCATGTTTGTATGGCTGGAAAGCAGTACATCTCTGCCAATCCCAGTGTTGTAGGGTATGACAGCATTACAGATTGCAGTTCCAGAACTTCTTCCTATGAATTTTAAAGCCAGAAGTGACTGCTGTAATGCCCTCACCCATCTGCTGTATTGCAGGACAGTGAGTTTCATTTGGTAACCGAAGAGTATTGCTATTTGCATATGTTTTTAGATAGCTGCTAAAACAGACAAGATTAAAAGATTAAAGGAAAATTCTTCCTGTGGGCTTCAGTGAGAACAGGATTTCATCCTCAGTATCTGTTAAGCGTTCTCTTACTGACTTACTATTGGACATCTTGGGGGTCCTTGTTTGTTTTTTCTTGTTTTCCAGTTGGGAGCTCAAGACAACAGTATCAATCTACTCTGTGCGAGCATTAAAAAGGTGAAACTACTTCTGATGAACCATCATGGCACATTTTTCTTTTCTTTTTGAAAACTCACTAGCCCTGCCCACATTTTCACCACCCAGGCTCAGAAGTATGCAGTCTACGTGATGTTATCTATGTCCAAATGTAATGTCGCCATATAAACTGTTTTGGGTAGGTGTGTTATTTACACCAGCAAGGCTTGGCAGTGCCAGCTGGACTCTGAAACTCCTGTAACGTACCTTTCACATGGAAGGTGTTTCCTGGTTTGTGTTTAATTTTTCTTTGACTTTCTGTCTATATCTCTGATTGCTTGTATTGTGCAATATAGCAATGCACACCCCAGTCCGTTGCAGTGATGTTTTACTCTGCTTCTTTTCTCTGTCTGTTCACTCCCTCGGGGAATTTTGCACATTTTTTCCCAGTGAAGTAGTCCAAAGCATGTAGATTGTACCACCCTATTAATTAGAATTACTGAGCTAATTGGGAAGCATTACCCATCTGTTCAGTGTTTGCTTCTTTCAGATTACAAAGGGTGTTTCATTCAGAAAGATGCCTTACTTGGTAGTTTGTGGCACTAGAAACTATCTTATTTTAAATCTTCTTTTGGGAACTCTCATGAAGGCAGTAGATACTTTTCTACCTGATACAGCATAAAAGCAGTAATAAGCTTTTAACTCTGTTGTGGAACTTTTTTATCAGGAAATAGAATTAAGTATGTAATGAAACTCAATATACTCCTCTTAAGCAAGAAAATTTTGCATGTGTGGTATATGGGAGCTTGAGGCCCCATTTTCCAGTACCTTTATAAACAAATGTTCATGGCACCATTTCAAAAACCCTCCTTTAAGCAAATTCCATATATGAGGTTGTGGGGGAAGGAGGTTGTTTTGTTCTTTTTAACTTCTAGTCCCTGTGAAAGGCCCTACAAAGTGACTGTTTTCTCACAAGCATTATGGAGGTTCTAATTTGAGGAGAAAAGAGAGGCATCTTTCCTGTTGCCAGTAGGATTAATTTTGCTGATGTTCTGTGAGTAACAGCAAACTTCAGAAACATTGATTGCTCACAACTAAATCTGAACAGGAGGTCTTAGCTGTTCTGGGCTGCCCAGAGCAGGACCATGCTTCACTATTTAAAGTCTTTATTAAATAAGAATGCAACTTTTCACGCATTTTTAAAAGATGCTGAGAGTTTATCCAACTTATAGACAGTATTAGCAGTACTGTTAAGGACTAATAATACTATGATGATTTGCCCTTCAGCTTTGTGTCATACCATTACATCAACTCTTTGTAATCAGCCCTGCAGAGCATTTTTGAGAGCTTCCATAGGAAATGTCCTAAAAGTAGCACAGAGTTTACTGTGATCTTGATTCAAGATAGTTATAGGGAGGAGTCACCTGAACTACTTAAGCTTCATCCTTTTGTCTAACCTAAGTGACTTCTTTATTTCTTCCGTCTGAAAGAAAAAGAAACTCACGGCAGGCTTATTTTCCTCATTATTAATGTTTAACGGAGCTCTCATCCATACCTACACACATCTGTTAAACATGGTCATCAGTTTACCCACAGGATGGATATTTTTAATATAACATTCAGGCTTTTAAGACTGAATTTATCTTTCTTTTGATCTTGGATTTGGATCAGGCCTCTTCAGAAGTCGCAGTTTTCGCATTCCTAGACATCTTCTTTGACTGATATGATACATAATTTTCCATCATCCCAGCCAAGCTGTTGTGCATGATGAATTAAACATCCTTACTGTTTTCTTTGATCACAGAAATAACAATTGCTCTGTTACAGTAATTAGCTTGCATAGCTTAAATGGGAGAGACCAGTTAGGGTTCTTCAGAAGCAGAATACTTCTTTAGAAGCAGAATACACATGGGTGGCTTATATTTGAGCAAGAGACAGATTCCCCGGCATTGCACCCACCTATTGGAAGTCACACTTAGCCAAACATCAGAATCTTCTGTATGTTGAGACAACCCTTGGACAGACATTACCTAGGTGACTCACTGTGATTTTTCTTCTTTTTCTTTTTTTTCTGTCTTCAATTTGGAGTTTGTTTTCTAGTACCATGTTTTGTCTTCTAAATTGTCTGACAACATACCCATCAATACTTCCAATTAAGTGAAGTTTAGATTTCCTGAAAAGTGCTGCTCCTCCACCAACAGAACAGACAACACAGAAGGACAACACTACTGCTAGAATTAAAAGCCCAGCACTAGAGATAAAAAACAAACCAAAGCTCTCTAGTGCCTGCCTTTCCTGTCTAGTGCGCTGTGTATGTTTTACCAGAAAGCAATTATAATACATGTGACTGCTTTGGGAAGCTAATACTTTCACAGCAGAGCTGGTCTTGAAAGCCCTGCATAGGGATCACTTCTGTTTCACGGCGGCCCTGTGTGCTGGGCTTGCACTTCCCACAACAAGAAGTTAGTAGTCTTTCTGGACCTGATCCAAAGTGAATAAAGTCAGTGGGAACTCTGTCAGTTGGCTGTAGATGAAGTAAAACATCATAAAATAATAAGTGCAAGAGAGACTGTACTGCCACACACACACGCAAGGATAGCACCATGTAGGTTAGTATCTACATTTACATATCATTCTTTCCCATAAAATATTCAGATGACTTTTATAAATTGAGCTTGGTGCTCGTAACAAATTCACGCATGTCCAGCTGGGATCTGCATGAGCTGATGTTTGCTCATGTGGATCCCCTCAGCAGGATCAGACTCTGCATCTGTTCAAGCCCACTGAATCCAATGCGGAAGCGCGCCATCTTTGTGGAATACGGTTGTTAGCAATTCACAGCAACGCTTCTACATCTTGTGTCAAGCTAAGAATATCCTACCCAACTGAAACTGCAGGGCATGCTTACAAAGAAAGAGTTGCAGTTTGCTAGGAGCCCATGGTTTATTTTCCCATGAACCCTCTGCAAAAGATTACACCTTGAATATGAACTATGTGTGTGTGTGTGTGTATATATATGTCTATAAAAAACATCAAAGGATGACACCTTGTGCAGCCCTAGGCATCCTTATGCCAAGACTTGCCAAGTACAGTTACAGACAAAAGAAAGTGACTGCTCAGTCACTAGCACAATGCTTGCAGTCATTAATGCCTTTTCCTCAGCTGTCAGTCACAATAACTTGCGAAATTGTCTGGCTCACAGTGCCAGCTGCAAGCATGCTCTTCTTTTCCTTTTAGAGACTTCTCCAGGAGTTGCTGAGGTGAAGTTTGTGGAAAAGGAGCCAGCTGAACGCCGCACAATCATTTCATGGGAGCAAGTGAGTATTTTTGTGGTAATATTGCAGTGAGGTCTGTCTGAATGTACAGCAGCCCATGGAGAATATCAAATGCAATGGCTGCCCTTTCTTTTATTGTGATACAGCCTGCTACCAAATTTGAGGAACAGAGGAACCTAAAGAGATATTTTTTGTTTGTTTTCATGAGGTATTACCAATAGTCTTTTAGGCTATTGCATATGCCCGATCTGTTAGAAAAACTTCTGCAGTGTGGGTATATTCAGAATGGCAACTCTAAAAAGAAATGACATAGCTGTAGTAGGCAGCAACAGTGGTGACTCAGTGAAGAACAAGCATTGTTCTGACTCAGGTCTGAAACCATTTTCTTACTCCCTTTCAAACAAAATGGAGCAGCTTTTCATTATTCATGGCCATTAAAGGTAAAGTCCTCAAGTTGGAAAATACGACAGAGGCACTCAGTTCATTCCAGTTATCTTTTCTCTTTTCAGTCTCAACTGTTCACCTCCATTTCTCACAGCCCTTTCTTCCACCTCCTCTCCATCTAACCAACCCTATATTTTGTCCAAAGCATGTCCCATTGCCTGTTCTAGAAGACTGTGAAAGACACATGCTACCTTCATATTAGCTGACCTCCCTGCATCAAAAGGTGTGACCAGAGGGCTCCTGAATACTGTTCTGTGACTCTGCTGGGCAGCGATGGCATTTTTGGTCCTTTTTTAAAATATACGTATGCTTATCAATCCCATGACCATGGTGGATGTCGTGGTTTAACTCCAGCCATCAACTAAGTACCATGCAGCTGCTCACTCACTCCCCTTCCTCTGCAGTGGGACTGGGAGGAGAATCAGAAAAAAAGGTAAAAACCTGTGGGTTGAGGTAAGAATAGTTTAATAATTGAGATAAAAGTACAATATAATAATATAACAACAATAATAGTAGTAATAATATTTTTTCTTAAGGAAATAGAGGAACGAATAAACCCTGTTCCCTCTACACCCTCTTTCTAACCCCCCACCCCCCCAAAAAAAAAAACAACAAACAACAAAACACAACAACCAAGTAATGCACAATGCAAGCTATGGGATAGAATATCCCTTTGGCTAATTCAGGTCTGCGCCCTCCGGGCTTCTTGTGCTCCTTCTCACTGGCAGAGCATGAGAGACTGAAAAGTCTTTGATCAGAGTAAGTGCTACTTAGCAACAACTAAAACACGGGTGTTTTGTTAACATTGTTTTAAGGCAAAAGCCAAATACAGCACTGTACAAGCTATTAGGAATAAAATTTCAGCTGGGATAACCAGTACGGTGGAATAAATACTTTCATGGTGTTACTCAGATGTAGTGAAGGTACAGCTCAGAAGCTCGCTGGCCTTTGCGTGGCAGAGGATGGAGATAAGCAAAACATCCTCCTCCTCCTCCAGCCCTGGCTATGCACTAGTGCCCATGCTCTCATGGACTGCACATGTTACCACTGCTTAAAATAACTTCCCCTTTAATGGCACCTTGCCCTTTACAGTTTTTCTTAAACAGTAGCAAAGAATCTCGCACTAGTTTTGGTAAAGCCCTATCCCATTAGTGATATATATCAAGATTTTATAAACCGGTCAGAATGTATATGATATAAACCTATGGTATTTACTGAAACTTGTACAGTAGCCAGCAACTGTGCTCAGGCAGAAGTGTCCGGTTTTTCAGGTTCATGTGAATTGTTTCCTGATCTCCTCCTGTAACTGTTGTTCAAGTGTCAGATTAACTGGTCTGGAAAGTCTGAGGCCTCTGACTGTGAGCCAGGTCAGGCCTGGTGGCAACAAGAATGATGTTTGTTCGTTCTTCTGTTGAGTGGAGGGGACTGCTTCTCCTGAGCACAGTACTGCTCTCATATCAGGTGCTTCTACTCCTCCTAACTAAACTGGGCTTGTTTCAAAATTGAGCTGTTCTTGTAAAGCCAAACTCTGAAATGCTGTAGCCAACTCACTTGGCTCCAGAGATGTCAAAACAAAACTTCAGCTCCATCCCCAACCCACCAGTGATGGACTAAGTTCATTGTGAAAGTAAATGGTGAAGATTAAGTAGATCAGTTGAGTAGACTGCTAATGGTGAAGGACTTTGGAATCTATTTCTTTGGGTTTGCTCCCATTTGCTTTGACAAAGCCTCAAATGTACTTCTTGAATTAACAGGTAACTTTTTGTTTTCGTATTTTTTTCTTGAGCTTTGGACATGAAGTCTGATATCTAACACAGTCCATGCAATTGCAGTACGTCCTGCAATGATGATTAAGGGCAAAGCATTCAGCACCTCCCAAGGTCCTTCTAGGATAAACTTGTACCCCCTTTTCCTCAAATTCATCCTGCTTGAATGTGAATACAAGTTTGAGTGTATCTAGTTTTCACTTTTATCACTGTTTTTTTTCATAGCCACTAGGTGGCAATACTTATGCACACACTTGCCACAGCCTGTATTTGTAACTCACCTCTACGGTTTTGGTTATGCAAGTACTTGAAGGGGTTTTTGTATGATATAGGGGAAGGTGGTTTCATTGACAAAGAATAAAAGCTCCACTTTTTTTTTTTTTTCTAGAAGCAGTTTTTCCAGTCCTACTTCAGTTTTGCAATGGAACAGTATTGCTGCTAAGAGAAAATACATGGTATTCAGGAATTCTTAAAAGAAAGTCAACATTTCTTTAAATTATGAATCTTAATCTTTCCAACCCTAACCATTCTATGATTAAAATCATGTTCTCATAGTGCTCGCAGTGTGCAAATTTTTTGCCTCTGTCAGCTGTGCTTGTTAAATTGGGCTGTGCTTGATTTGTGCTAGTATTTAAGTGAATGCTGTGATGGAAGTTCTAAAATCCTAGATCAGCTTGTTGAGTGTCTGTTAGCTGCTCTGAGGCTTTGCAGAGGAAGGTGGGCTTCATGACAGGAGACAAAGCAGTATGACAGTAAGAGAGCTGAAGAGTTTTCTTTCTCAGGCTTTGTGTAGAGGCAGAAAGAGCTGCTCAGGAAATGGAATTTGAAATCAATCATCAATATTTTATTGAAAATCAGCACACTCACTAAGATACGTAAGGTATATAATTGTTACATATATACATCATTTCCCCAAAACTTTAAAGCAGTTCAAAATATTTAAATAAAAATTTAGGCCTAGCAAGATGATATCTTTTCCTCAGGAAAGTAAGACATGCAACAGAAGGGGGATAAAGACAGAGTTTCCAGGTCACTGGAATGCCAGTGCTAATAACTACATTGTCCTATGAACTCATTCCTACTCCTAAAATTAGGCTGGCAACTGCCCTGCTCCCTTCCATGTGCAGTTTTTAAAAGTCAGTGTTACACTAGAATAGTGATAAGGAGGCATTCTGGTATCAGCTGTGGCTGTGTCTGAACCACATTTTCTTTTCTGCTTCAACCAGAAGACAAGTCACTCACATCCTTGTTTTGATTTTCAAAATCAGAAAATTGCATTCTGTTAGGAGTAGCTGGAGCACCACAGTGCTCAGCACCACAGCAGGCCAAGGAAAATGAAGGGGGTCATTGTACTCTTATTAGCTTATTAGCAGTGTCTGAACTGCCCCTGGCTGGCTGTAAGCAATCCCTGCCCATCATGTTGCTGGAGCTTTGATGTTCTACAACTCTACAAGGGAAATATGTTGTTTCTCCTTAGGCACTTTGTGGACAAAGATGTATTTTTCTGTAATAAAACCATTAAAAAGCTCTCAAGCAGCCTGGTGCTTTCCTGTTGTCAACTGTCTTAGGCTACCAGACAATTTGGAAACTCTCTCTGCATGCAGATCTCAGTGGAAATTGTGGTGGTTGTCCCTGGCTGTTCTAGAAGTCTTCTTTGTTGCTTCTACCATATCTCTTTTTGACCCAAAAGTATGCACATCCATAAGGGTCCTTCTTGCTGCCCTCCTTGATTTCCAGAAGCACAGGATCTGCCCATCTTGAGCCTGCCTTGTGGCCCTGACCATGAGAGAGGTGGGGAAGTGAACCCAGCAGAACCAGTGCAAGAGGAAAGGTATATTTCTTCAAGCCCCATAACTGAGGAGATTCTGGAGAACTGTTGGGAGGTAGATAATATTTGTGATGCAGTGTTCCTCTCCTGTGAGGCTTCATAATATTCTGATTAGAGATAGGTCTACCCCAGCCCCCTGCCTTTCAGGGCAGGAAATCCAAGCACCGTGTTCTCCTGGGAGCCTCCCCAGTCAGATTTATAAAAAGTGCAGCAAGAACATCTCAGTACTGCATTCACTGGCAGCTAGGGCAGACCAGACATTAAACATTAGGGAGAGAGAAAGGAGGCTGCTGATGTACTGTAGTACTTATAAGGCCCGAGAAGTGACATAAATCCCTTCCTTCTCTCTCCAGAAGTTGGATAAAACTCATTAAGCTTTTAAAAGAAGTCTCTCTCAAGCTATAAGCTTTGACTGTTGTTCATTTCTTTAGGATATTAGCTTGGGAAGCCTTGTTTCAGCAGTGCTTTAAGTGAATTGCCATATGTCAGTGTTTTAGCTGTGGATCCAGTGCTGATGAGGTCTTGGCAGCAAAAATAATCTGGTTCCAATACTCTTCTTTATCCTCAGTGGACTGTGCTCTCTTGGGAGTCTTGGGAGACATAATATTTGGGGATGTTACAGACAATAAACAAAAGCAGTAGACCTCACACACCATATTGGACACTTGGGATATTTCATTTTATGAGCTGATGAGTGTAACCAGATGACTGTAGTGAAAACAGCTGCTTGCCAGGTCTGTGGTTAAGCCACTTCTGGCACGTTATTAGGAATATTGTATTTTATGGAGCTGGAGGAGCACAGAGCTTTAGAAGCCATTTTTAAGCTTGAGAAGCCATTTTTAGTATCTAGTAGTAGCTTGTTTCTCTGCTGTCACAAGATAACTGTTTTGACGCCATAGGGTCGTGTGGCTGAGCGTAACATAACAGATCAATGAAACCTTTCTGAGAGATGGCTATTAGTGAAGCTTTCTGTCGAGAGTTCTTTTGCTATAGACCCCAGATGTGCTCTGGTACAGCGTTTTCCACCCATGTATTTTGCACCATCATTTGAGGAGTCATGCAAAGTGACATGGTTAGAAGAATCCTAAAACAAAGTGGGGAACACAGCCATTTGAAGAAACATGCACATGTTAATCTTTCCATCCAGAAAGGGAGGTTCAGAGCAGAAGACCTGTTCAGATATGATTTTTCCATGTCCTAATCAGCTATGTTTGTTAAATTGACCTGTGCCTGGTTTGTAGTAGTATTTAACTGGATACCTCAGTGGAAGTTTTAAAAACTTAGATTTTGTCATCCCAGGGGACTGAGAACAGCTACTGAAGTCAAGAGAGCTGTTTGCATGTATATTTTTACTGGTGGGATAGATTAGTTAAAACTGCAGGGCTTGAAATGGACTGAAAGTGTTGCGTAAACGTGTGTACTCTTCTGAGGCTTTGACAGGCCCTCTGAGGTCTGTCTTATTTTCTTTCTTCATAGTTTTAAACCTAGTCACTGTGCTTACAACAGCATCTTGAAATTGGAAGTGGTGAAAGCGCAGCATGAAATTGTAAATATTTAGGACTGAGAAGAACCCACAGAAGAAGGCGTGTTTGTTAAAGGCATCTGAAGAACTTCAGATATGTACATGTGGCTTAGTAATCTCCTGAAACTTACCACCAGGGCCTCAGGCATCAGCAGACTGTTATCAAAGGACAGGAAATTCTCCTTAATACAAAGTTTCTACAGTATCAGATTCCCTGCTTTAATAGCTGTTGTATCTGCAGATTTTCCCTGCCTGGCTTAGAAAAGCACTGTACTAGCAACCAGGCTGCTGATGGGTTAACTCAAGTGACCTGGCCTACTGCAAGCTGCAAAGCCATTAGTATCTGGGACTTGTCAGTAGCAGTCTACTGGCATAAATGGATTTGCTTAGAGAGTAAACATGCAGGAGTAGAGGTTGTGGGTGTGTTAGAGGGTTCTGCACAGCGGATACGCCACAGCTTGGGGGACAGGGACTGTAGCAACTCAAAGAAAGTGACTGAGGATAAAGATTTAACAGGCAGAAGGGCTGCCCTGGTCCTAGGGGGTAGTAAGGAATGTAGACAGGAGGAGGCCAGCACCTTTCTTTGCTTGTGCCAGTCACTGGTGACTGAAGGCCAGCACTGCATTTGGATGCACAGCTGGCACGTAGGTCCCACTGACAGATGCATTGAGGCAACATTAGGGCAGATAACTGGACGTGTACAAGCGGCAGACATGGAGAAGAATCTGATCAACATCTCCTGAGATATTACAAATTTGTGTCACTAAATAAATCTACATGAGCAGCATGTGCATGTTTCTTTTCCTTAGCTACTGGTTACCAGAATATTCTTCATTTATTTTATGAGACTTTGAATGTTACATTTTATAGTAGCTGTGGGGAAGTTGTCCCAGCAGAGGCACAATATTGGAAATATATTGTCTCCAAGGGGTACCTTACAATAGGCATCTGCTACCTACCTCCAAACCAAGACAGTAAGGCCAGCAAAGCTGTATTTGGGTTACTTAAGCAAGCTTCAGGTCAACAGAGCCTGGTTCTTGTGGGGGAGTTCAGCTACTCAGACATTTGTTGGAAATAATGCAACTCACATTCATCAAGTTCCTGGACTGCGTAGAGGACTGCTTCTTCATACAGATGTTAGATGACATTGGTCAAACCAGGAATGAGGCACTGCTGAACTGTGTGCTGCTCACAAACCAAGAAGACCTGCTTTGTAATATCTCAGTGATGGCCTTGGCTGCAGGGATCACTATATTGCAGAGTTTGTGATCAGTTGAGCATACTGAAGTTTAGCGCTAAGGCAAAGGTTTTAGATTTTACAGCAGCAAACTTCAGCTCACTCAGAGTTCTGTTGGGAGGGATTCCAGGGAAGCTTCCATGAAGGATAAAGGAGCTAACGAGTGCTGTGAGATTCTCAAGAGCACTCCCTTGGAAGCACAAAACCAATTCATTGCATTTAAAGATAAGGGAAGTAGACAGAGCAAGAGACCCCCTTGTCTTAACTGTGAACTTCTGAGTCTGCTCAAACACAGAAGATAAACATACCAGAGATGGAAAAGCAGATGAATACCTGTTGAGGACTTCAAGGGCATTGCCAGGGTGTGCAGAGACATGGAAAAGCAAAAGCTCAGCTCGAATTTCAATTGGCCAGAGATGTCAAAAGTACAAGAGAGTTCCTCAGGTATGTGAACAACAAGCAGAAACAGAAGAAAAATAGGGGCCCACTGATAAGCAGCATAGGGGAATAAGTCACCAATAACACTGAAAAGGCAGAGGTTCTCTTCACTTTCTTTCTCTGTCTTTATCAGCACTTTTAGGCTGCAGGCCTTGGGAACAAAAATCCAGGTTGATGCAAACACAGACCAACCATCAGTGAAGGAAGAGTTGGTATGTGAACTGTTACAGAGGCTTGACCCCTGCTAATCAATGGGCCCTGACAATATCCACTCAAGGGTATTAAGAGAGCTGGCTGATGTCATTGCAAGGCCACTCTCCATAATCTTATGAGAAGTCTTGGATATATGACATGTCCCAGAAGACTGGAAAAAGGAAAATATCATCTCCATCTACCAGAACGTCTTAAAGGACCCACACATGTGTGTTACTTCAGTCCCCAGGAAACTTAACAAATCTTCCTGGGGCCTATCACAAGTCAAGTTAAGCACAGATTCACCAAGGGCAAATTGTGTTTGACAAACCTGATCACCTCTACAAAAAGTAACCTGCTTGTTTGATATGGGGCGAGTGGTGGACATTGTCCTGGATTTCTCAAAGGTTTTCAGTATGTTTTCCCACAGCCTCCTCATAGAAAAACTAACACATCACAGCCCAGACAAGTGGTCTGTGTGGTGGGTGGGGAACTGGCTGACTGGCTGCACCCAGAGGGTGGTGGTGAGCAGCCCCTTTTACAGCTGAGACCTGTCACTAGTTTTGGTTCCCACTATAGAAAAAAGATGTGGACAGGCTGCAAAGGGTGCAGAGAAGGAACACAAAGCTGATCTCAGAACCACAGAATCATTAGGGTTGGAAGGGACCTCTGGAGATCATCTAGTCCAACCTCCAGTGATCAAAGGACTGGGCAGCCTTCCATGTAAGGAAAGGCTAAGACAGTTGGGTTTGTTCAGCCATGAGAAAAGAAGGCTCAGGGGAGACCTTCTCACCATGTTCCGGTACTTATAGCATGGCTACAAAGAAAATGGAGACTCCCATTTTACAAGGAGTCATATGAAAAGACAAGGGATAACGGGCACGAGTTACTGCTGGGGAGATTTTGGCTGGACACAAGAAAAATTGTTCACAATGAGAACATTCATCCATTGGAATAATCTCTCAAGGGAAGTGGTGGATTCCCTAATGTTGGACACTTTTAAGATTCAGCTGGACAGGGTGCTGGGCTTGTATTGTGTCTTTCTTGTGTTCTTGCCAAGAAAGGTTGGACCAGATGATCCTTGAGGTCCTTTCCAACCTGCTATACTATGGTTCCATGGTTCTATTATGTGATTCAATATTCAGTTGTACTTTGGGTTTGGGGCACATTCTGCATTTTCCCATAACATTCTGATTGTTGTTTGCAGAAAAATTCCTGCATATTGCCAGAGGATTTAAAGAACTTCTATCTAATGACCGATGGCTTTCAGATGACCTGGAGTGTGAAGACCGATGGCAAGTCAATGTATCATGCATGAATACCCTCATTTCCCTGCAGCCAGTCTTTCCTTTTCAGGATCTCTTTAATTTCAACCTTACTTTCTGCACAGTCAGTACACATCTGTCAGCATCCTGCCTTAATCTGAGCAAAAGCACATGCGGCAAGTAATTTTGAATGAAAAATAGCACCGTTCCTTAACTTTCAAAAACAAGAGAAAAGCCAAACAAGAAGTAGTTTGTTTCTGCTAGGCAGCTTCATCAGTGACTACAGAAAACTGACCTCTGAATTAGTAAGTGAGTGTAGTCCTGTGTGGGATAGTAGACTATATTAAAGATGTGAAGAAAAAATTATGCCTGCACATCGAGGATCCCTTCCTGGTGCAAAAGGAAGCATGTTGCTTACATGTGCTGGACTTGCACAAAAGAGACATGTATCCTGAACACTGGCTAGAAACCAAACAAATAAATACCATTCTTTAATACACTGGCCAGCTATTGACACTCAGATTTAGGTATCTAGTTTAAATCTTGTACCTACACTGCCTCTATAGTTCTTGGAGAGAGAAGCAGCTCTAGCATATTATCCTATCAAAAAGCAATAGGAAGAGTTACCCTCTGATAATGCCTCTTTCTCATTAAAACGTATATGTACATGCTAGAGCATGATTCTGCTTTCCACCATTCACTGGAGCAATTTCTGGAGTCTGTGGTGGAACTAAGTACAGGATCAAGCTTTATTGTCCTCGTTTGGCAAGAATTAGGCAGTTCCTTCTCTGGAGGCCTGCAACTATTATCCTACCTCTTGTTGCCTTCAAGTGAGGTTGTCAAATTGGGCTGTGGACACTGCTTACTTCCACAAATGGGTGTGAAATACAGGGGTTTTCCTCAGGAAGTGAAATTTCATTTCAAGAAACAAGCTGAAATCAGGGCTCTAGCACCTGCGCTGAGTCCCATCATGTTTCAAGTGGGATTTAGTGTGTTGTGACTCTGAAGACTCTTGTTTTCAGGGCACACAACTACAAAGAGGCCAGTGCAGCTCACATTACTGCCTTGTTTGAGCAAGCATCCAGTACCGCCTACAGAGGCCTTTCACACTGGCACATGGTGGAACAGGGTGGTCAATGTCTGGTAACAATACTAGTCCTCAATAGAGACAAGTGATAAGCATTCATTCAGCAGCACCCACATGTTGACAACACAGTTGGAGTGGGAAACAAGGGAATGCACCCTGAGCAGGTATATGGGGTGGAAGAGGATGAGCTACCCAATATGGTATGAATGGGTGGAGTGGTTTCTGGTAGGAAGGACAGCAGCAAGAAAGAGTTTTGAGGAGGTGGTTTTAGCTAGCAGGATTTTTAATAGCCGGTTTCACAGGACTAGGCTAACAGCTGCAGCAGAGGCTTAGCCAGCAGTGTAATTCTCATACCTGCACTGGTGTCACATCACCTGTAAGTGCGATTCTATGCTTGAAAAAGCCTAATATTTGTTCCTCTGGAGCCTGACTTGGTTAAGCATCCAGCCCTGCTGGGTATTCACACCTCTTCTCCCCAACTTTGTTTTCAAAGAGGTTGAGTTGATGTGTGGAGGAAAAGAAATACCTCCTGACACTGTATGTGATTAATGGTCACTCTTATTGCAGATACACCAATGCCCCTGGGCTCCATGGTGATTAATAGTGTCTCGAAGCTATGTCGGCTTGGAGATTCCTCTATGTACACTCTGCCTAATGCACCAACTCTTGCTGACCTGGAAGATGACACAGGCGAGGAAGGTAACATCCTATTAACAGGTAGAAAATGTTCTCTGTCTCATCGCTTTTGCTCTGTTAGGATGATGTTAGGATATAGCACATGGATATTGCAACAGCAAAGGTCATTCCCAAGTAGATGGGGTTTTCTTTGTCTCCTGAGCTGGATCTACTATATATTCCTGTTAGTCCCCTATGGCCTGTAGAGGTAGGTCTGTATGCTGAGAATCTCATGAGGATTGTTAATGCTGCCAGTTGCCAGTATTACTTGCATCCTCTTTTTGACAGCGTGGCAGGCTCCTATTCTGCCTTTTCCCTATTTATTTTTTTAACTGAGGCTTCCTCCAGTGATTCACCTTCTAAAGTCTTTGTGTCCTTGTAGTGTCACACGAACAAAAGATAACAGTTTATGTCTTGGTAATAAAAAGGCAGCAGGATGTGCTCTTTGGAATTGGAAAAATAACTCTGGTGGATACATGTAAGTGTGAGGTGACACTGGAAAATGTGTGTTTCCAGACCACCTAAGAATGCTGGGCATGCTGCAGTTTAGAGAGAAAAAGAAAAAGAAAAGCCCACTCCTTTTCTTAGACCTCTTACAGTCTAACAAGACTGGAAGAATAAAGAAGGTGAGAACAGAGCCAGGTGTCATGCTGACTCCTTAACAAATAGCTATTTGATTTAAGTTTTGTCTCTGAATCTCTATAGCTCTTGTAACTGCTAAATATGGCTGGAAGATTCCTTTTGCACATTCCAGCTTGGCTGCAGTCTTGATCTTCTAGCCATTGTAATGAAATGGGCCAAATTCTGCTTCCATTTAGCCACTCAAACTTCCACTGATGCACTTATAAGGTACACTGAGAAAAAGTTACATCCCCACAAGAGATCGTACCCTGACTTCCACAGAAAATTCGTCTGAAGAGTACAGCTCTTATGTCTTGAGGAGCTTTGAAATTCAAACTGATGTCCTGCAAAAACTTGCAGCTACGCATCCCAGAATGGTCCTGTAGAAAGGCTTTGTGGTGCTTGTGGGCCGCGAGTTGAATATGAGTCAGACAGTGTGGCTTTTGAGGACCCTGATGTCACACTGGAATGTATGAAGAAATATATTTGTTTCCAAGGTCATCAAAGACTTCTGTCAGAGAAAAAGAATAAACTGTTCTCCCTGTCCTCCTTAGAAAAGAATAAAGTGCGGCAAGAAAGGGAGGGTGGATAGGATGGAAATAATGGACTTCAGCTGGAGCAAGGAAGATTTAGGATCCACCTGAGGAACACTTCTAATTGGTAACAATGGATTTGAGTTGACTGTTGGGAGATTGTGGCATCTCCAACACTGGAGAACTGTAAGAAAAGAGTAAGCAAACACGTCTCAGGAGTGACATCTGTAAAGCTGATCTTGCTTTATGCCAGGGAAGGACTAGAGAGCAGCTTGATATCTTTTTTCAGTCAACTGATTTTGACTCTGGTTTGTTTTCATAACAGGTTAACATTTTTCTCACTTTTTGGTTTAGTTCTTTTATTTTTTCAACGCAGGGAACTTAGTCAAGAAGTATAAATATAGATTTAGTTGTTCCTTGGCTGATTTATTAATAAGTATCAAATAAATTGCCTTTTGGTAGCTGAGTCACAGTCAGTTTTCCAAATATGTTTCATCAAGTTTTTTCCTGTTTTCAGGCCATGGAGACAAACCAGAGAAGCCACACTTTGATTCTCGTAGTCTCATCTTTGAATTAGACCCATGCAATGGGAATGGGAAAGTTTGCCTTGTTTATAAGCATGCTAAACCAGGTAAGACTGAAAAGAGCAAAGTTAGCCATCTTTCATTGTGGATTGTATCTGCAGGCCACGTGTAGAATCATCTTGTATTTCTGATCATCTTTGCAATTTGTAGATGAACATTTACTGGGGTGTTCTGTCTCCATTGAAGTCAGGGGCTAAACCTCATAGAGACTTTACTAGAGCTAATGTTTTCCCCCTTTTAATGTTGGGACTCTGCGTTATGATTTCTGCATGCATACAAACAAGAAAGCATTCACATATGACCTACAGACAGCCATGTTGAAATAATACAGAGCGCCACCAACATATCTCTGGTTACTTACATGTCTGGAAACAATTCCCTTCTATTTTGATGAGAAAGCCTGGAGCTGTTCTTAGAAGCAATGGGTAGATGCTAAAAAAGGTCTTGATAGAGACAGCCTTAGACTAGTTCTTCCACCCTGTGCATGGATGCAGAGCCTCCAGATGCTAACTAGACCAAAATTTGGTAGTAAGGGTTGGACAGCAGGGTGAAAGATGTGAGCTGGGCTGTTTCTTCTGACAGATACAGAGAAAACCGTTAGCAACAATTAGTGAAACACCTGAGGCACTGGTAAAGCAGTTCTCATCAGACACAATGCACAGGTCACTAGGTGTACATGCATACATGTGTGTTTACTGTGTAGGGGTGTGCAATTGTTATATACCTGTCCTTAACAAAACTCTGTGGTTGTTATCTCTTGTGTTCATTGGGCGTGACTGCAGCTCCCAAGGCAGAAACTTACCTGACCTCTTGCTTTGCAGCATTAGTGATTTCAGCACATGCAGTGGCTAACCTGGGCAAGGGAAGGGAGTGTTGTTTCCCAGTGTTGCTGTCAATGCAGGGGGCAGTGTGTTTAATTAGCAGTGTTCAGCGTTTCAATTTCACAAGTAAAATCACGTCTTTTTATGTTACAAAGGATGTAGCCACCAGAGAAATACTTGATCACTGTGGAAAGATTTTGCAAAATGTGTTTTTGTTGGCAGCACACGGTTCTAAGACTTCCAGACTCTGAACTCTATTTAGTAATCCAGATGACTGACAATTGAGTTAGTTGTTTTTACTTTGTGGAGCAGATAAATGTTTGCCATAATTGTACTTTGAACTTAACACCAGAAAGTTGCTGATGTCCAAGCATGTTCCATGCAGTGTACCAGCCCCAGGTTGGGCAGGAACAGCGTTGCATCCATTGTATGGTGGGGAAAGTCAGTGTAATGGCTGTTGCACAAGAATTTTTGGTAAAGCCAGGAGCAGAACTACATCTTTTTCAGTCCCCATGCTCTAACCAGTAAGCCACATTCCTCTGGATAACCATCTGTGTTAGTCAGGGATGCTGCATTTTAGAAGCTGCAGCCTTTCTGATAAGTATGTTGTGTCTCCCACCTGACAATGGCCAGCAATTGATCTTACCACTGCAAAACAACAGTGTAATTTGTGTTTGTGTTGTTCTAGTTGTCTCCCCAGACACAGAGATATGGTTCCTGGACAGAGCTCTGTATTGGCACTTCCTCACCAAAACCTTCACAGCCTACTACCGCCTGCTCATTACCCACCTGGGTCTTCCACAGTGGCAGTACGCCTTCACCAGCTATGGGGTCAGCCCCCAGGCCAAGGTAGGACAGCAGGATCCAGCTTATCAGTATTTTGCATAAGCATAGATGTAAAAACATCTTCTCACCTTTTGACAAGCAGTCTGTAGGCTTGAGTGGGCCTCCTTAAGGAGCTATGGAACGGGCCATGAGTCTTTCATATCCTGTAGCATGTTAACAGTCATTCATTTATGTTAGTAAATTCAATAACATTTTGTGTTAACCCTGCTTTCTTCACCTGAGTTGGACTCTACCTTTGACCTTTAATAGCAGGTAGTGAAGCTCCAATTATTTCTTTGCTCTCTTGACTTTGAGGCAAGCCTTCACTTCCGTGACTGCTGGCAAATGAGGAGATGCAAAGCCATTCATCCCCACAGCTACGTAAGATTGTCTCTGGGCGTAGCACTGAGGAAGAGCCTGCTGCTCTCTGGGTGAAGAGGAAAGCCCAGGTACAAATTAGATAGGAACCCAGAGAAGACTATGGACTTGAGCCTTGCCAAGAATACCAATTTCTTTGCATCCTCCTCAGTCATGAAGGGATGCCTTGATAAAAATGATGCCAAAAAAAAGGGTAATTTAAATGCCAGCAGTCCTAGAAGTAGTTGTAGGAGAGCTTCAGGTACAGCCTTGTGACCATTCCAGCCCTTCATTATTATTAAAATTGCTATTCTGCTCTGCCAGGACCCTACTATTGGAAGCACCTGCCATTCCGCAGTGTCTGACTGGGCCCTAAGCCTGTCAAACCCTGATTCAACCTTGTGAGAGGTTGAGGAATGGAACTGATAATACTTCTGAACACAGCACAAAAGCAAATACAATATCTCTGCATGCTGGCAAGCCCAGGCAGGTCTTGGTGAGTGTCCTGCACTTCATCCAGACATGCCAGCTCTCTCACCAGCATGACGTTCCTTGGTCCTGCCTTGATCTCTGTGTGCATCAGAACTACTCACTAAGATCACTGCCAACTTTCCATCTATCAGTGGCTGTAGAATTTTGTTCTTTGTATTTCTAGTGTCTTCCCTGTTACACTGTGCTCTGCTTTGTCGGTGGAGGCTGTGTGCGTGGTCCCCTTAACATATGTCTGTGCTCTGCCTTTCTCTAACTTTCCTACTAGAATATTTTGTTATGTTCAGTATATTCACAAACCTTAGTGAAATCATTCATGTATTCCCTAATCATTTGCAGCCTCTGCTAGTTAAAATCCTCCTAGTGTGTTAACCATTATCATTTTTAAAGGTCTTCAAGGGTGGCATATTAAAGCTGTTTTCCATTAAGCAGTACATGAAGAGATTGCCATCTACATTTTCATATTGATCTTTTGTTCATCTTGTTCAACATTTTGCTCACGGTTTCAGTGGGATTTGTAATACCATAATGCCCACAGTTTCATTTCCTGACTTTGTCAATGGAAAAGTGATAGGAAAAACATCAAAGATGAGGAATGCACTGTAGTGGCATCTGGGAACCAAAAAGAAAAATATGACTTATTGTGGTCACTTCTAGATGTGAAATCTAACTGAAGAGAAACAAACACAAAATTCTTTGTGTAAAGAGTTAAAAATCCTGCATTATTGAATGTGTGAAGAAAGGGAGGGAGACTGTATCTTGAGAGTTCAACTAGTTTGGGTCCAATTTATAAGTACATTTAAATTCCAAGGATTTGAAATCTTTTCTTCTTGTCTGAATCTAAGTAAGTGTGGTTTAGTTTCAACCCGTCCTTTTGCTTTTCTTCCTGTTGTTTAAATCAAGAGTTGCTCCTGATAGGAGTTACACTGCAGGAAAGTTAGTTTTAGGTTTATGTCTGGTTCTCCTCTTCCATGTCTGGAATGTGGGGCAGTTCCAGGACTGTAGCTGTGCCTTATGTATCCTTATCAAAAGGCACTCTTTGCAGTCCCGTAAATTGCAAACTGATAAGTGGTGTGTGATCAAAATCAAGTCTCAGGAGGGAGGGCCAAGAGGGTGTAAATGTCTAAGTGCAGTTTGATTTTAACCTCTTCCTTCCCCACCATCCTGCCTTTCAGCAATGGTTTAACATGTATAAACCCATAACCATCAACACATCTCTCCTCTCTGAAGAAGCTGATTCCTTCGTGAACAAGTTGGACCCCAATAAAGTATTTAAAAGCAAGAACAAAACACCAGTGATCAAAAAGAAACAACCTTCCCAGCCGTCAGGCTCCCAAAAGAGTCACACGAGCATGACCTCCTCCAAGACATCCTCGCTAGCTGGGAATTCTTCAAGGAAGTGAGACCACCAGATCTGACCCTGAACAGTATTTTCAACAAGCTTTGATGTTCTCTGATGCAGAGTCAATGGTTCAGATGGAGTTCCTTGTGCATTAATAGATGTGCCCAATGAAAACACGTTGCAGCATTTGCATGAAATAAAGCCACAATGTACTTTGACATGGGAGGGATGTGGTTCCTTGAGACTGGGAGAAAAAATCTTGAGACACTGATTTAATTTCCTTCTGCTACTTGCAGTATGTACTTTCCAGAGGGCATGAAGAAGCCGTTGATGTCACTGCTGTATTGGGAAGCTTTTGTTCTTGTACAACTACAGCAGTGAAATGAAAGCAGATGTAAGTCACCATTACTTTAATAGACCTATGCTGAAATACAGTGTATGAAGATATTTTCTGCCATCTCCTTTGAAAGAAACCTGTCCTGACCTTGCATGCTATGGATTAGGCTGGAACCCACTGAACAAAGAAATATCTTCTGCTTCTAATAGAATCAAGCTCTGCACTTCCCCATGCTCCTTCCAATTTCTGCCCTCAGAGTCATGGTTCAAAGAGACCTTGGGCTTCCGTGTCTCTGCACTGGCCTAGTTGCTTTCTCTACAGCCCAGACCACTTAGAATCATAGACTCAACTAGGTTGGAAAAGACTTTTAAAATCAAGTCCAACCTTTACCTCAGGACTGCTAAGACCACCTCTAAACCGTGTCACTGAGAGTCTCATCTACATGGTTTTTGAACACTTTCAGGAATGGTGACTCCACCACTGCCCTGCACAGCCTGTTCCACTGCCTGAGCACCCTCTCGGTGAAGATATTGTTCCTAATATCCAGTCTAAAGCTTCCCTGGCACAGCTTGAGGCTGTTTCATCTTGTCCTATCGCTTGTTACCTGGTAGAAGAGATTGATGTCCACCTCAGTCCATCCTCCTTTCAGGCAGTTGTAGATAGCGATAAGGTCCCCCCTGAGCCTTCTCTTCTCCAGACTAAACCCCCCAGGTCCCTCAGCCGTTCCCCATCACATTTGTGCTCCAGACCCTTCACCAGCTCCATTGCCCTTCTCTGGCCCCGCTCCAGCATCTCAATGTCTCTCCTGTAGTGAGGGTCCCAGCACTGAACACAGGATTCGAGGTGCAGCCTCATCAGTTCCCAGTGCAGGGGGATGATCACTGCCCTGGCCCTGCTACCACACTATTGCTGGTACAGGCCAGGATGCTGTTTGTCTTCTTGGCTGTCTGAGCACAAGCTGCTCATCTTCAGTTCCATCAATCAGCAGCCTGAGGTTCTTTTCCACTGAGCAGCTTTCCAGTCACTCTGCCGCAAGCCTGGGGCAGTACATGGGGTTGTTGTGGCCCAAGTGCATGGGCCAGCACTTTGCCTTGTTGAACCTCATACCATTGACCACAGCCCATGGATCCAGCCTGTCCAGATCCCTGTGCAGAGCATCCTATCCTCCAGCAGATCAACACTCTCACCCAAATAGGTGTCATCTGCAAATTTACTGAGGGTGCACTCAATCCTCTCATCCAGATCATCAATGAAGATATTAACACTGGCCCTAACACCGAGCCCTGAGGGACACCACTAGTGAGCAGTTACCAACTAGATGTGACACCATTTACCACCGTTCTTTTGGGCTCAGCCATCCAGCCAGTTTCCAACCCAGGAAAGAATTCACCTATCCAGGCCATGAGCAGGTAGTTTCTCCAGGAGAATGCTGTGGCCGACAGTGTTGAATGCTTTACTAAATCCAAATAGACAATGTTCACAGCCTTTCCCTCCCTCATCAGCCAGGCTGGTCACCTTATTGTGGAAGGAGATCAGGTTGGTCAAGCAGGACCTGCCCTTCGTTAGCCCATGCTGACTGGGCCTGGTTGCTCCATTTTGCTGCACGTGCTTAATGGTCTCACTTAGGATCGTCTGCTCTGTGACCTTCCCCGGTACTGAGCTCAGGCTGACATACCTGGAATTTCCAAGGTCTTCCATCCTGCTCTTTTTGTAGAAAGGTGTCATGTTGGCCATCCTCCAATCCTCTGGGACCTGCCCAGAGGACTGCTAGAGACCAAACTGCTAGACTAGACCAGGACTGCTGATACATGATGGAGAGTGGCTTGGCAAACTCCTCTGCCAGCTGCTTCATCATTCTTGGGTGTCACCCGTCCAGCCCCATAGATGTGTACATATAAGTGGAGCAGGAGGTCGCTAACCATTTCTTCCTGAATTATGGGGACTTCAATCAGCTTCTCATCTCTGACATCCAGCTCGGGGATCTGAGTACCCTGAGGGTGGCTGGTGTGACTACTAAAGACTGAGGCAAAGGCAGCATTTCCTTTTTGGAAATACTTTTCCATTTTGGCCTTTGTGCCGTGTCTTTTCAGATAGTCAGGTCTGTGTGATGTCCTTCCCAATACACCCAAAGGTAGCCAGAAGCTGCAAGATCCCTCACTGCCTCTGATTTCTCCTCCTATAGGAATTGCTGAAACACTGGGTCAGTGATGTTGAGAGTCCCATAAGCCAGGAGGACCCCTTGGTTTGTCATGCATTCATTTGCAAAGTTGACCATTCAAACAGCCTTTGTCACTTTTCAACTGGGCACACTGAGATCCTACAGCCTTAGAAGCTCCTGATGCTGTTTTAATAGTCTAAGTTGTCAGGTTAGAACCGCACTTTAACCCATCCAGTGCTGGTTTTTATTTATACCTGAAGGTTTCCATTACTTTTCTGTGCTATTCTATCTTCTTAGGTGTGCTGGAAACACATGGTAGCCACCCACACATTTTGTGCCTAAGCAGGGAAATCCAAAGTCACCATCTCTAAGTAAGCATCAATTATTTAAACAGTATCATCTTTTATTTGTGAAACAGTCATATAATTACATAATACAAACCTACCTCACAGGGACGTGAGGACAAGTATTTGTATGGCCTTCAAAAAGAGGAAGCCTGTAAGTGCTTAGTAGTATTTTAATAAAGAATTTAATATTTTCCTCCAGAGTGACTGGGTATTTAAAGTTGCTTTGGGGAGCACATGTACAAGGATGTATGGTAAAAGCAGGGCACAGGCTGGATTGGTTTGTTGGGTTTTTTCTAATGGAGTGGACAATCTCACTGAGAAGGGTTGGATTACAGTGTCTTTTTAGCTAATCGCATTGTGAGCTACTCTGAAGTTCCCAGTTTAGTTCACATAGACCAAAAGACTCAGCTGTTTGACAGCTGTTCAGCACACCTCTGTCCTGCACTCAGTGTTCAAAGTCTCTGATGCCATCAGCCCCAGCTCTTGCACGCTTTGCTTGGTTTCCAGCACTGTCCAAGTGCAGTTTCTGCATTGCCTTGCTGAGGGCTGCCCTCTGCCACCCCCAGGTGAGAGGAAATCTTCTAATGCTCCTCAGCCCTCTGAAGCTGACATGCATCTTGTGCCAGGTAAAGATCTGTTGTAGCTGCTCTACTAACATAAGGTCAGCTCAAAAAGAAAGCAGAGATGACAGTACCTATCACCCCACCCCACACCACATTAGTGGTCCTTTTAATAGAATTATACAATACCAGGTTGGAAAGGACCTCAAGGATCATCTGGTCCAACCTATTATAGTCTATCTTATTATAGACCTGTCTGGTCCTACTATATTAGTAGCGAGATGTGAATGATCATTAAAGCCAGTAAATGCTGTTTTCTGGAATTCTGTGCAGTAGTGATGTTCTGTCACTTCCTACTTATGGAGATCCCCATATTTTGTGTTCATGGCACCCCAGGACTGCAGTCATGTGCTTGACATATATACCATACTTGCTTAAGCATTGCCTAGGAAAGTTAAGACTCCTGTTACCCCACTGGTGACAGTAAGCTTCTGATACTATTTAACTTTTATTCTGATACCTCAGTCGTGGAAGGCTCTTGCAGGTCCACTTCCTTATTCAGATGGAGGTGGCAGAATTCCTTCAGGAACAGGGCAGCCTCTTCCCACATTTCTTATGCATTCACAGTGGGGAAAAGGGCTTCAATTCTGGTTTTTGTTTAATTGAGCATTTGAGTCTCAATCCTTTTATGGTGGTAGTTAAAACTCCAGCCTATTGGTAGCACACATAATTCCATGACACCAACATGTTCCAGTAGAGTGGTGCCAGAAATCAGGAAACTTTGTGGTTTAGTTTACTGATTTTTTGGTGCTTCCTGAATGTTCAGATCAAAAAGGAAAAACCAAAAACAAGCAAAAAAAAATCAAGTTCAGGTCTGTATTTCAGACTATCCTTGCTCTTTGTGCTCTGCCAAAACAGGTGTTTGTTAGGGTTTATCAAATAGAAGCAAGCTTAAGTCCCTGATCCATCAGTATTTACTTCTTACCAAAGAATATTCCAGATGAAAATTTCTTTAAGTTAATTAAGCTTTTTCTGCTGATTTTATATAATGTATTTTGATCTAGTGGAAAGTGTCCCTGCCTATGGCCGGGGGTTGAAACTAGATGATCTTTAAGGTCCCTTCCAACCCAAACCATTCTATGATTCTATGAATGCATAGGTATCTGGAGTCTTGCAGCTCTGCTTTGCTTTTCTCCAGAATGTGATGATTTTATCTTTGGTAGATGTTTACACAGGGAGACTGAATAATTCCCTCAGGTCACAGACAGGTCTAGCCCTGCCCAGGTCTGCCCAGTGTATTAGAGACCCAGTTTGTCTGCTCAGGCAGAGTTTATTGAAGACCAGTCCCACATTTCTCCACCAGCAGGGTAAAGAACTGGTGTACTCCTGCAGCATTATTGCACATGCCCTTACCCACTTGTTTACCCTTTGACTGTCAGTCCGTACGTCCACATAGGCTTTGATGTCAAGTCCTTTCCTTGGAGCACGTGGCCATCACAGTGTAGAAACCTCCACTGCTCTCTGTCCTTTCTCATTCCCACATCCCGTGACAGGTGGGTTGTGAAAATCAATGAAGATTTTGTGGATGAAAACACCAGTCAGGCTTCCCAGAATTGGTGCTGTGACTGGGACCCACCACCAGTGGTGTCCAGCCCTAAAATGAAACAGAGGAGAGGCAGCCAGTGAGCCACATTGGAACCACTGCCCTGCCACTGAAGGGCTGCAAGGGCAGGAGTGAGCTGTGTGAGAAGGGGTGTCTAGTCACACTTCACATACTGGGCCCTACAGCTGGCTTAGACACATTCCCTACCCACCAGCATAACTGCTGGAGGGAGGGTCATTTTCCCCATCAACCTCAGAAGGTGTTGCTGCACTGTCTGCAGGTTTCTTGCTGTCCTACCTACAGAAATGGTCTGTGTGATCCTGATGAGCATGACTATCAGACAGAGAGACACACACACCTCTTTTCACTCCCCATTTCTGTTAACATCGGCACCTCCTTTACCAAGCTCTCACTTATTTTCTGGAAATTTAATTAAACTAATGGCCAGGAGAGTCTGCTAATGCCCTCAACCATGGGAAAAGCCATAGCATGGCACCATTGCTAAGCAGGGGAAGGCAGGGTTTCATCTCCAGATTCAGACATCTAAATTTAAGAGAGCTATTCAGTAATCCACCTATAAGTACCTGCTTTCATGTGAGCTGAATCAGTCTTTGGCTTTCCATTCACTGTGATATAACCACCTAGACCTCCAGCTAAGAGGTGGCCAGTTTGCTGCCCAAATTGAGGTGTCCAAATTTCAAGATGAATCCCATGCTGGAGAATTAGTGTGCCCCAATTTTTGTGCTCATAATGCACCAGCCTCCTCTATGCACAACTTTTGCTGTCTGAGAATGTAGGATGCGCTCTGCACTGATACCATCATCACTTGACCCAGAGAAAAAGTCTTTGTGGCTATTCTATCTTGTGTTTATCTGCTCTCATTGCAAGCTGAGCAGTGTAAAAGCAAAGAGGGTCACTCACGTGAAGACATCGGTTCCCCAGCCAGCAATTGCCGTGAAGATCCTGGGGGGCAGGTCTCGGGAGGGGTTTATGGCATAACCTGTGTTCATCCCCATCCCCATGCCAATGCCCAGGACAAGGATACCCGTGAGCAGGGCCTCTGTGCCTCTCAGGGCCCTGTTGTTTTTCTCGTCGTGGATGATCAGAATGCCCAGGTGAAGCATCACTGTTGCTAGAAACTGCAGGAGCACAAAAGGGACAGCAGGTCAGGAGGGAGAAGGGGGAATGCAGGAACATCCTCAGCAGAGAGGAAGAGACTTCACAGATTGGAAGAGCAGGTAATATTCATGCTCTGATCAAGGCAGGGAGGACCTTGTTCTTATTCCCACCTCACAGGTGGATGGAAGAAAATTCTGGACTGATTTCCCAGCAGCAATAACTCCATGTCATCACCAGAAATGCCCTAGGACTGATAGAAACTTCTCAGCACTGTCCTCTCCCTCCACCTTTCAAGTTAGAGACATATGTTATTGTAAGTACATTTCATCTGACAGAGGCAGACCCGTAACAGACTGCTAAGAAGACAAATCTGTTCCTCCCTAGAGGGAGTGATGTTTTATATAGCCTGTTGCATCAGCCTTTTCAGGACTAAAAGCAGATACTAGATTCTCCTCTGGGACACTGAATCTCCCTTTTGTGACAGTACATAGCGAGAAGTTGTAGATCTGTGATGCCCAAGATGTCAGGAACTGTTGTTTGAATGCAGGTGATTCCTGTCTTTTTCTGCTTCAGAACGTGCAGCTGGAGAGCCTGGGACTGCTTGCAGAGTTGCCAGCAAAAGTAGAAACTCTGCAGCTCTTGGCAATACGCTGTCACTGTCATTTGCTTTCTTGTGTAGCAAGGACCCTGCATGCTCTATGGGAGGCTGAGTCATCAGGTCCCCACCTGTAGGCTATCCAACTCTCACTGCCATCCTCATCATACCCAGGGAAGAATTTTGTCAGAGACAAGCACAGGCTTCCTTAGATTTGAATTGGGACTGAATCTTCCTTCTCCAGTGCTCCAGTGCTCCATGTCCACTGAAGCATCCCCTTCCTATTTCTGGGCATCTGGACATTGTGTTGTGCCCTGGGAATCAACTGTACGTGGTCTGAATTGGACTGTTCAAACCCCAGAGAACAATCCAGACAGCCTGTGGTCTGAAGGGGGCCTACAAGGTTGCTGGAGAGGGACTCTTTGTCAGGGACTATAGTGATAGGGCAAGGGGTGATGGGTTTAAACTAAAACAGGGGAAGTTCATTGTTGTGAGGGTGGTGAGGCACTGGAATGGGTTGCCCAAAGAAGTGGTAAATGCTCCACCCCCTGCAGTGTTCAAGGCCAGGTTGGGCAGAGCCTTGGGCAACATAGCCTAGTGTGAGACATCCCTGCCCAGGGCAGGGGGTTGGAACTTTATGATCTTAAGGTCCTGTGCAACCATAGCCATTCTGTGATTCTATGTGAAGGCAGCCCTGGGTGCTCTGTACTGGTGAGGGGCAGCGGGCAGAGCTGCCCAGGAGAACAGGGCATGTGTAGGATCCAGAAAGGGGAAGAACAGTTCAGAGAATTGCACAGAGCCTGAAGGAGATGCTTCCTCATACAGCTCAGCTTCCCATTGCCTGGGCTGCATGCAGGAAAGGTGTTTGGAGGGCACTGTGACCAAGCCTGCAGGCATTACCTTTTAGGCTTGCTCAGCCACCAAGATGCCTTTCATCCTACCTGTCAGGCACCTGCTCTGAATGGTGGGCTCCTTGGAGAAGAGGTTGTGATTGTCTCTGCACACTCTCTCTGGCACTCACAGTGTTACCACCTGCCTTGCCCAGCACATCCCAGCAGTCCCCACTGACCTCTGTGAAGAAACTCCCAGGCAAGGACATATAGGGAGCAGGGTAAGTGGAGAAGATGGACGCTGTGGCAGTTGGTCCTGTCACTGTGAAGTTCCCCTTGGAGTAGTCGTACAGAGCATCTTAAGGAGAAATGGGAGTTAGAGGAGTTAGCAGAATTCATCACGGCACATACGTGAGTCCATGCATTGCAGCCAGCATGGACACCAAGAGGAACAGAGGCAATGGGAGATACAGTGGAGGTGACACCCCAAGCA